GCCACAGGGTCTTCAACGACAGGCTGCAGCCACTGGGACTCAATTTGAAATCACACCCCCAAAATAATCCCTACACAAACTCAAATTCATGCTGCAGGAAGAGAGCTGGGCTGATTCAGTTTTGGAAAGCAGCACTTGGAGTCTACAGCTGCAGGAGAGGAGGGCTTTTTGTTTAAAAGTTGAAATGAAAATCTTGGCACACACAAAGCATGCTCTTCCCTAGTTTGTAATCATCTCTGTGAAACACAAGTGTGTGTACATACCTTCATAGTTAACAGTGACGGCGCTTTGGATATTATGTCAATGGAAGTCAAGCTCATGGGACCAGTACTGCTCGTGTAGAGACCTGGGAATTTGGCATCGCAAGTAACCAATAACTATCACTTAATTTTTATGACAACAATAAAGCCAAACTCTGAGTTAAATTTAATTCCAACTTATTGGAAGTATCGTTAAGAACATGTTGTGGTCAGATGATGATAAATGTTTAGTCTATAGATGATCAGGGTTTATCGTGGCTCTTCTGGGATGTGGCAGTCACAGAAATTCCTGCACAGGTCGTCTCCCTCTTATAGATCCCTGTTTGCAAACACTGAGGTCAGATCAAGAAGCCTTTATTTAGTTTTTATGGATTCTTCAGGTGGATTTTCTCCTGGGCTAAACCACAAACTGTGTTAATCTGTGGTGCCAGTATCACAGCCCTTCGCCTGCTCTTTGTTTTATGTCTCTGCAGTTTGGGCAGCCATTTTGTGCTCAGTAAAAGAAAAAAAAATAAATCCAACCCATCCATTATGGGCATTCTCCTGGAGACTTTCCTTTTGGATGTTATTCCATCATGCATTTCCATGGCAATTATAATTCAGCCTACAGTTAATTGTCTCTGACTCGGAAACCATCCTGCGAATGAATTCAGCCTCCCCAAGACCCCAGGTACGAACCAAGCAGCATCGTGAGTGAACGTTTATACCACATGCAGCATCTTCACCCCGAATACCCAGACAGCAAGGACTGAAAATGTGCAAGAAGGGCAAGGTGTGACCTGGGGCAGGGCTGTCAGCTCCATGCTCGTGGGGCTGCTTTCCCGGGGGGGCTCAGGCTGCCGGCTGCAGCCCTTCTTCCTCCAGCCCCGCTCGCCCTGTGCAGCGCGCTGCCACGGCTCCATTTTCCTTCCCTACCCTCCTGAAATTCCCCGAGCTATTAACTAGGTCACGGGAGCTGGTCCCCATCCAGCAGTTTGTCTAATTGCCTTTTTATAGTACACCGTGCAACTCTTCATTATCCTGTCAGAGTTCCCCCCGCGGTGCCGGAGGGAGGACGGGGCGGCGGAGCTGGGATGGAGCTCGCTGCTGCTGCTGGGGTGGGGGCAATAAATGCAGGGGGGGCTTCCAGCTGCGGCTGGAGGCGAGGTGGGCCTCTTCTGGCCTCTGCCAGCACTTCTGTAGGTACCTGGGCACGTGTCTGGGGCTGGGGTCGCTTCTCCAAGCCATGTGTCCGGGCTGACCTGCGCCAGGTCTGTGCCAGGTGGGTCGGTTCTTCGGCAGCTGTGGCCGGGGAGGATTTTGGCAGGGTTCTGGGGAGAAGCTGCCCCCCCGGCCTTCTCGGCACTGCGGCTGGCAGCTCTGCTGTGATGCCCAGCAGCAGGTTTTGGGGGGGACAGGGTGTTGGGGGGGAATTTTTGTGGTGTAAGCGTGGAGTCTGTGCAGGAATCGGGGGGCATTTGGACACCCACGCTCGTTGCAGAGGGGGATGAAGCACGCAGGAATTGCCTTAAATCCCCGTGTTCATATGGAAGCATCTAAATTTCAGCCGCGATTTGCGACACTGTGTTTGAGGAAGAACGCAGCCCCCAAAAAGTGCAGGAACGACTCCTTTGGGGTGGGGGTCCCTGACCGGGGGGCTGCCCGTCCTGCTCCCGCACCGCCCCGCTGCGCCCGGCCACCCGCGGCCCGGAGAGGGGCTGGCGGTGCGGGCTGTGCGGGAGGGCAGCCTGCTCGGCTTGGCCTTGCCTGCCTTCCTCAAACGATTTTTTGAGCGTGAATAGCTCTTTTGCCCTCACTTGGTTAATCAGAAATCCCAGCCGCGAGCCCCCGAGCCTGCTCTGGGGAGATAAGGCAGCGGCGCGCCTCCGGCTGGATCTGCCGGAGCGTGCGGGGGGGGGGTCCCGGGGAGAGGCACCCCCAGGAGCTGGGCTGAGCCCCCCGAGCAGGGCCAGGACCCCCCAGCCCCATCTCTGCGGGGAGAGCGGTGCCCGAAAACCCCAGCGCCGGGCGGCGGGGAGCCCTCGGCAGCTCCGGGTTGCGGCTCGTTTGCGCGCTCTCCTCGCTTCCTCTGAAAGGATTCGCAGCTCAAACGCCCCCCTGAGACCCGCTAACCTTTGGATAAGGTTTGCCTCGGCTTATCCTGCTCGGGGTAATTAGGAGTTAGGGGGAGCCGGGAGTAAGGCGGCCGCATCCCCGCATCCCGCACCCTGCATCCCGCATCCCCTCCGGCTGCGGGCAGCGATGGGGCGAGCAGCAGAGGTAAATGCCCCAGCCCTCCCCTCTTCTCTTCGCGCTTCTCTTCTCCTTCTCTTCCTCTGCCTCTTTCCCCTTTTGTTCTCTTTTTTATTTCATTTCATTATTATTGTTGTTATTGTTATTTTTTCCCCTCCCTCCGGTGCGCTTTGCCCCCGTTTCTGGCCGCCGCTCCAAGTTCAGGGTTGCTTTTCTTTCCAGGCGCTGCCGAAGGAATTCTCCTTCCCCCTCCTTCGGGCCCGGGGCAGGAGGGGCGGCAGGGCCGGGGGTTGTGTTTGGGGGGGGGCACAACGGGAGGGGGGAGACGCGGCGAGGAAATGCTGGAACCTGAACCCGGGGGCACCCCGGGGCCACCTCCAGCACCCCTCGGGTCCCTTGCGCCTCCTGTCCCCTCGTTGTCGCTCATATCCCCTGCATGTCCGCGCCCCCCCCCGCGCCCCCCCGGTTCCCATTGTCTCTGTGTCCAGGGCTCTGCAGGGGATTTGCCGGGGGGTCGAGTGAAGACCTCCCCCCCCCGGCAGCTCTTCCCCAAGCGTCCTCCCCCGGAGGCACGATCCGACGGGGGGGTCGCAGAGCCCGGCCGGGGCAGCCCCCCCAGCGGAGCGGGGCTTCTCTCCCAGCTCCGGGGGCAATCTTTGATTTTGTTTTATGGTCTTTTCTTTTTTAATTGTTTATTTTTTTTTCTAAAAAGGTGTCTCCGGAGCCCGACGCATCCTTACCACGCAGTGAGCATCCCAAAGCCTCCCTCCTAGCCCTCCCCGTCCTAAAACTCCTCTCCCAAATGCCCTCTGCCAAAGCCCCCTCCCCAATTCCCCCCTCCCGAAGCCCCTCTCCCCCTCCAGGCGCGGTGCCGGGGTCCCCTTCCCCTCCCCAGGACCTGGGGGTGCTGGGGGCTGCGGCGGAGCCCCCCCGGCTGCGGCAGGGCAGGGCCGAGGGGAGGAGAGGGGCGGGGGGGTTGCGCCAGGGCGGTTTTAGGGAATATTCACGCACCAGACGGCGATTTGGGTGAATTTTTCGTTTTGATTTTTTTCCCCCTCCCTGATGCCCCCTGCAGCCCCTGGAAACAGGTCTCCTTCACATCCTCTTTTACAATGAACTCGTCTTAGGCTAAATTAAGAACAAAATCAAAACAAAACAAACAACCAAGAAAAACAAAACAAAGAAACAACGACAACAACAAAATCGTTGAATTAACCCCCGAGGTGCTCATCGTTGCAGTCGTTGGGTTTTTTGGGATTTGTTTTTTCTTTTTTCTTTTGCTTTCTCGACCTATTTGTGCACTGATATGTGATAATTCCCCCGCACAGCGAAGGCAGGGAGACGCCGTGCCTCGCCGTCTTCCTTTCACTCGCTTTTATCATTTTTTTTTTAACATTTTTAATTTATTTTTTTTTTAATTATTTGGGGTCCGGTGTCAGGGGGGAAGCAGCGGCCGAGAGAGCCCTGTGAGAAACCCTCACCGGGGATGTTTCTTTCTGACGCATTTCAGCCGCTTTGCACCCAATTTTCTTCCTCCTTCCGTCAAAAGGAAAAAAATGAAAGGAAAAAAAAAAGGGGGGGGGGTATTCAAAGCGTTTTCTGGAAGCTCTGCTCGATGCCGCATCCCACCTGCATCCGCATCCCCCCCCTCTCCCTGCCCCGATATTAGGAAATGATTTACCGCTGGCTTTTCCTTTCTTTTGTAATTTTAAAAATTTAAAATAATTGTAAAAAATAAAACCAATAAAACGGAGTTTCCTTTTTACCTTCCCAAATAAACAAACGAGCCAGCTGCCCCCTCCCTTGGGGAAGGGCCCCCTTTTTTTCTCCCGTCGCCGCGCTGGCTGCGCACCTCGAAAACACGCGAACAAAGAACCGCGGCCAGGCTCCTCCGTGCCAAACCAGCGCGGGCGTTTGGAGGCAAAACGAAAATCCCGAGCTATATTTGTGTAGTTTTTAGAAGAAAGGGGAATCTCTGCGATAAGATCGGGGGGAGCGCAAAGATAACCCGGCCGGGGCTCGGCACCCCGGTGGCACGTCGGTGACGCTCCGGTGACACTTTGGCACATCGGTGGCACATCGGTGGCACTTCGGCACGTTGGCACACCGCTGGCACACCGCTGCCCCCCCGGCACGCCGTGCCCCGCAGCTGCCGGGGGCTCCCCTGCCCAAGCTGCCCCCAGCCTCCAAAGGGGCCGCGCGTATTTTTGGGTAGAGAAAATAAAAGGGAGGGGTTCTGGGGAGGAAAATTCCGTTAAGGAGCGGTCGGGAGCCCCTTTGTCCGCCCCTTCGGGGGGGCTCTTGTGCCTCGGCCGCCCCCGGAGCGGAGCGGGGAAGGGGTCGGGGCGCGGCGGCGGGGGCTGCGGGGCCGGGGGGGCCGCGCTGCGGCGCTGCTGGCGGGGCCCGGCGGGCGTGGGTGTCGCCGTGCCGCGGGGGGGAGGCTGGGCTTGGCCGGGGCCGCTGGTACCTCCCCCAGAACTGCAGTACTCCTCTCCCCTCTCTTCTCCCCGCGAGGTGGGCGCACTGCGATGGAGACGCGGCGCGCTCTGCCAGGGGCTCGCGCTGCCCGTCTGGTGACAGCCGCCGGCTGGTGACAGCCTCCGTCCGGGGACAGCAGCCGTCCGGGGACAGCCACCGTCCGGGGACAGCCTCCCACCGTCGCCCCCCAGCACAGCCCGGCCGCGGGGACCGGCGGAGGGGCGCGGAGCGGGCGGGGAGCTGCGCTCCCGCACCTGCCCGCCGCGGGGGCATGCCCCAGGGCCGCCCGCAGCGCAGCCGCTCGCAGCGCGCCCGGGAGCGGAGGTAGCGGCTCGGCAGAGCCCCCCCGCACCGCCCCCGCCGCCCTTTTCCCGGAGCCCGGCTCCCGGCCGCCCCCCGCCGCTCGCCCTCCCCGTCGGGTCCATCCGACCGCCGGGTGCGGAGCCGCCACCATGGCCACGCTCCTCCGCAGCAAGCTCTCCAACGTGGCCACCTCCGTGTCCAACAAGTCCCAGGCGAAGATGAGCGGCATGTTCGCCAGGATGGGCTTCCAGGCGGCCACCGACGAGGAGGCGGTGGGCTTCGCCCACTGCGACGACCTGGACATGGAGCACAGGCAGGGGCTGCAGATGGACATCCTCAAGGGCGAGGGAGGCGAGGAGGGCGGCGAGCCGCCCCTGGAGGGGGACATCCACTACCAGAGGGACGGCACCGGCCCCCTGCCGCCCTCTGCCTCCAAGGACGCGGGGGTCTGCTCCTGAGCTCTCCGGGCAAGGCAAGCCCAAGATCACGGCGTGGGAGGCGGGCTGGAATGTCACCAACGCCATCCAGGTACGCCCGGGCACCCGCTGCCACCGGCACCGGGACGCGCTGCCCCCGCTCCCATCCCCGCACCGGGGTGACCGCAACATCCCTGGGGGGGGGAGGGGAAAAGAAATGGAAAAACCCACCTACCTGACCAAAAAAATAATAATCAATCAACCAAAACAAACAAAAAAAGACCAAAATCTGCATTTCTTCATGTTGCCCACCTCCCCTGCAGTGGGTGGGATGGGGCAGCTCGGGTTGGGGGGATGCGCCTGGGGGACCGGGCCACCTCCCCATGTGTGTCCCCAGCTTTGGGGCAGTGCCAGTGGGTGAAGGGGCCTAGGTGCACTGAGAGGGGCTGGGGACAGACAGGGTGGAGATTTGGGCAAAGCCCAACCGTGCTTGCTTGCTCTGGGCACCTCAGGGTGCGATTACGTGGGTGTGCACGAGGACACGCGTGTGGCTGCGTGGGCAATTGCGTGGGCGGAGAGAAAAAGGGTTTGTGTGTGATCGTGCGCGGCCGTGATTGTGTGGTGTGAGTGTGGGATGGCTGCGTTGGTGTCACCGTGTGCGAGCGAGGCAGCGTGCGCGTGCACGCGCGTGTGCCTGCGGCCGCGGGTGCCTGGGTGCAGGCGCCCGCCTGGTCCCCTCGGTGAGCCGAGCAACACGGTTTCCATTTTGTCTCTTTCTAGGGGATGTTTGTTCTGGGCCTGCCCTATGCCATCCTTCATGGTGGATACCTAGGACTCTTTTTAATAATTTTCGCTGCGGTGGTTTGCTGCTACACTGGGAAAATCCTTATTGCCTGTCTTTATGAAGAGAATGAGGATGGGGAGATAGTCAGGGTGAGAGACTCCTACGTGGACATAGCCAACGCGTGCTGTGCGCCCCGCTTCCCCACGCTCGGAGGCAGAATTGTGAACGTGGCTCAGATCATTGAACTGGTCATGACCTGCATCCTCTATGTGGTGGTCAGTGGGAACCTGATGTACAACAGCTTCCCCAACCTGCCTGTCTCCCAGAAGTCGTGGTCCATCATTGCCACGGCCGTGCTCCTGCCCTGCGCGTTCTTGAAGAACCTCAAGGCAGTCTCCAAGTTCAGCTTGCTCTGCACGTTGGCCCACTTTGTGATCAACATCCTGGTGATCGCCTACTGCCTCTCCAGGGCACGCGACTGGGCGTGGGACAAAGTCAAGTTTTACATTGATGTGAAGAAATTCCCCATCTCCATTGGCATCATTGTCTTCAGCTACACCTCTCAGATCTTTCTGCCTTCCTTGGAGGGGAACATGCAGAACCCCAAGGAGTTCCACTGCATGATGAACTGGACTCACATAGCAGCTTGCATCCTTAAGGGACTCTTTGCCTTGGTCGCCTATCTGACCTGGGCTGATGAGACCAAGGAGGTCATCACAGACAACTTGCCATCCACCATTAGGGCAGTAGTCAACATCTTCTTGGTGGCCAAAGCCTTGCTCTCCTACCCCCTGCCGTTCTTTGCAGCTGTGGAAGTCCTGGAGCGATCCCTCTTCCAGGATGGAAACAGGGCGTTCTTCCCCAACTGCTACGGGGGCGACGGGCGGCTCAAATCCTGGGGACTCACCCTCAGATGCGCCCTGGTAGTCTTCACCCTGCTCATGGCCATCTATGTCCCGCATTTTGCCCTCCTGATGGGTCTTACCGGGAGCCTCACAGGCGCAGGGCTCTGCTTCCTGCTCCCCAGTCTTTTCCACCTCAAACTCTTGTGGAGGAAGCTCTTGTGGCACCACGTCTTCTTCGACGTCGCCATTTTCGTTATAGGGGGTATCTGCAGCGTCTCGGGCTTCATCCACTCTTTGGAAGGCCTCATAGAGGCCTTCAGAACCAACGCGGAAGACTAAGGAGGGGCCAGAGCTGGCTGCAGCAAGAGAATCGCATCGAACATCTGCATAGCCAAAAAAATCCGCATCCCTTGAATGAAGAGAGTCATTATTTTCGTTACGTGCATCCAACAAATTCTGTGTCTTAGAAATCTGCAAATTAAATGAGATAAGACGAGAAGACAGTGTTCGCCCTGCCATCTTTTTAAATAAGCTAAGAGTTAAATATATTTTTTTGTTATTTAGAATGTTTTAAAGGAAAATACGTGGTGCCCCATCCCGATCTCCTCACTAGTTGCCTGAAGCTTGGCCCCCCCGCGAAGGACCAGTCGGGAACCGATCGCAGCTTTACTGCTCCTCACAGCTCTGCAGTTCGGTGCTTCAGGAGGAGGAACAGGCGCCGACCCGATGGGACTGGGGCTCTGGGCTTACAGACGGAAGCGAGCAAGCTGCGGGCGCTGGGAGCAGGGCCCTTCCTTTATTTTACATGGGTTGAGAGAGAAGTAAACGAGCCCCGGATTGTGTGGCCGGCCCAGCAAGCCCAACGCTGATGACTGCAGCGATGCCAGGACTGCTGAATTCTCCCACCCGGACTCACACCGAGGAACGGCGCTGCCCATCGATCACATTTTGCCTCTGGTTGAAATCACAAACCCGGAGTCCACTTCTCAGTGATTTTGTTTTGTTTTGTTTTGTTTCATTTTAACGATTGTTACTTCTAAATTATGAAAAGAAAAGCATATATATGTTGTTGGATTTGACGTCGTTCAGGATACAGAAACAAAACTAAGACAAAACTCATTCTGTGCAATCTACCAGATCCGTGGAGCTGTTTCCAATGTATGTGTGGTGTAATTGTGGTAAATAAGATGAAAAATGTATATCAGAAAAACAAAAGTCTATCTTTAACTTATAATGTGGTACATAAATATATCGAACAATAAAGAGAAAACCTATCCGAGGAGGCTGGCCTGCTTCGCTGAGCAGGGGGCAGGGGAGGGCGGGCTGATAGGATGGGGCACGGGGGTGCGGGGAGCCAAACCCCAAATGTCCGATCCCCTTGCAAAGAGATGAAGGCAGCGAAACGAAATGCGGGGCTCGGAGCAGCCCTGGCTCGAACCGAGCTGCCTCCGGGCTGCATGCGGGCTGTGCCGAGCCGTGCCCGAGCCGAGCCGTGCCGTGCCCAGCCGTGCCGAGCCGTGCCAAGCCGATCCTATCCAACCCGATCCAACTCGATCCGACCCGATCCGAGCCGATCCGAGCCGATCCGAGCCGTGCCCCCCTCCCGTCCTTGCCCCGCAATGCGGTGCCGGGGGCTGGCTGCCGCACGGCTGCAGCTTGCAGCTGCTCTCCGCGCCGTGCTTTTGGGGTCCTTTCCTCCTCACCTCCCCCTTTTTAGGGCCGCAGCTGCCACCCCCCGTCCTTGCTGGAGGCTGTGGGACCTGGCCGGGTGCCCCCAGCCCGTCCTGCCCCTCTCTGTGCCTCCTCACGGGCCAAAAGGGGCACGGGAGGATGGAAAGCGTTTGGGGAAGCTCTGCCTTTGCGGAGGTTTTACCTTAGCAATTAGGTTTTAAACCTCATTCAGCATATATTTATATTTTTCCTTGTGAGCAAAAAATAAAAATTAAAAAAAAAAAAAATCCAGCTCCTGCTTTGGGTGCATTTGGGGCTGTAAGGCGATTTCTGCCCTTTTTTCTTTATTTTTTGCTCCGAGCAGTCGAAGGCTCCTTGCTCTGCTCGCCCCTCGGGAAGCAGAGAAGGGAAGCACGAGCAGGCAGCACCCCACAGGGGCACCCCAAACCCCGAGCCCTGCCTGGCAGAGGCACCGCCAGGCCATAAGGGTCCCAGGGGGATCCCACCCAGCCTCTACCTCGCTGCAGCTTCCAGCTGCAGGAGCCCGGGGATTATTTCCAGTCTCCCCAGGCTTTGTCTCGCTGTCGGTTCAGGCACCTTCCTCCATCTCCCTGCCGGGTGCTGCTGCACGCTCAGGGCTGATGTGCGATGAGTTTGGGGAAAAACGAGCCAGGGTCTGTCCTCTCACCGTGCCCGTGGCTGCTGGTGTGTCCATCAGACTGGGTTTGCCCCCATGGGCAGCCCCCAGCCCGCTGCAGCAGGCGTTCGGTGCTCTGCTGGTGCCGGGGGAGCTCCCCTGCAGCCGGGCTTGCTGGGGACATGCGGCTTTACGCAGGGGATGTGGTGGGATGAGCAAAGCACAGCCCGAAATAGCAGAGGGTTGAAAGCAGGAATCGCCTGTGAAAGCATCGGGATGGGGATGTACAAACTGCTCCGAGTGGCTTCTGTCAGACCCGCAGCTCCCGGCCGTGTGCTGCAGCAGCCCTCTGAGCCTGCTCGCTCTGAGAAGGAATGAAACAAAGGCCTCTCGGCACCCGGAGGGAGCATTTCCTCATCACTCCGTGTCTCCACAGCTCCTCAAGCACAACGGGGATCTCTCTTTGGGACAGTTCCCCATGACACAAGGGCAATGTCGAATCCCCTTGTCCTCGCAGCTGTGCCACCAGGCAGGAACGTCAGCAGGAGCTGGGGAGGTGTGAGAGCTTCTCCTGCTCCTCGCCACGAGCTGCTTTTGGTGCTGGAGCATGCGAGGGACACCTGTGGCCCTGTGTGTCCCCTCACACAGACTCGGTGACCTCTTCTGTGCTGTCCTGAGCCCCTGAACCTCCAGCTTCGAAGCACATGTGTCAGGCTGCTTCGGCATTTCGGGTGAGGAGCTGGAGCTCCACCAGTGGCCAGCAGTGACTCCACCAGTGTGCCCAGCTGCAGAGCCTTACTTAGGTGCCCAGCCAGGGATGTGGTGACCCCTCTGGGGACATCCCAGTACCAGGCACCCACAGAGGGAAAGAGAGAGGGACATGGAGTGAATGGGGGAAGGCTGGATAGAGGGCAATAGCTGTGATTTCATTTTTTGGCTCGGATCTCCTGTCCAGAGGGATGTCCCCGTCCTGTCTCTGTCCTGCCCCTGCCCCATGGGGACGAGGCTCCAGGGCGGCTCCACCTCGCTGTGCTCCTGCCTTGCTGCCAAGCCCCGTGTGTTGCTGGAGCACCAGCAGCGGGTCCTGCCCGTGCCCAGCGGGTGTCCCAGGCCCCTGGTGCCGCTGCTGGCCTTGCAGAGGTGACACACGGCTCGCTGTGACCCGGCACAGCCTGTGGCCAGGAGCACCTTGCTCTCACCTTTCGCACTTTCCCAGGGGCGAGCTGCCCTCTAATCCCCCAGGGAGGGAATTTCCTCTCCCACCCGGCTCCCGGTTCCTCCGTCCCCTCATCCCCTCGTGGCCGGGTAATCATTTACTTCCTACCTCAGGCCACTCCTGCAGATTTCTCCTTCGACCTTCAGACCGAATCGCCAAAACAAAAACAAGGGGAGGGAGGGAGGCGAGAGCTGCCTTCTGCAGCTGCTGCCGCCCCGTGCCAGGACTCCTGCTCCGCACTCCCCACAGGTAACACCGGGCTCCTTTCTCCTTCCTCCGTGGCTTTCCCTTCTTTTCACCAGGGCTTGAGACACTCTGGGAGAAGCAGAGGTTTTGGGAAGGGGTCGGCCCCACTGCTGGGCACCAAGTCAGTGGGCACAGGGGCTGTGGCCCTGGGGCAGCAGCTGGAAGCAGAGGGCTCACGTTTCCTAAACCGGGCTCATTTTCCAGCTGTGAGAGAATCCCAGCAACTCCGGAGAGGAGCACAGTGCTGCTGGAAGGCTTCTTGCTTTAAATGTGCCTGTCCCAGGGCAGGGACATGATGGGACAGGGTGGGAAGGAGCCTCCAGTGCTGCTGCCCCCGCAGCCCCCTGCCAGCTCGCTCCTGGCCCTGCAAGGAGCAGCCCCGGGTGTTTTCAGGCCCTGTCCAGCTTCTGGAGCCGGCAGCTCAGCAGATCAGCGGGGAACTGAGCGTCCCCACACCCCTGCAGCAGGACAGGAGGCTCGGGCAGCTCCAGCACTGGGGGCACAGGCACAGAAATGGGGTTTGGGCCCCGAGAGGCTCCGGGTCGCTGTGCCCAGCACCTCTCCAAGGGGGCAGCCTCCAGTCCCCTCCTGGGCAGGATGGGTTTGGGGGGCAGTTTTGGGGAGCTGTGAGCCCTCATACCCCTTGCTTACAAAGCCACAGCAGTGCCAGCAGAGAGGGGCCGGTTTGGGGTCAGTGTGGCTCCGGGAGCTGACTCCTGGCTGCTAAACCCTGCTCAATCCGGCTGGGAAACTGCAGCCCTGCCCTTGTCCCCGGTGACACGCTGCCCCGAGCTGGTGGCGGCCCTGGGCGGGCCAGGCTGGCTTCAGGGGGTGTGCTGCGGGGCAAAGACACCCTCATCCCTAAAAGCCAGATATTATTTTGTAAGGAAAGCCTCAACCCTACAGACTGGGCATGTCCTGGGGCAGTGCTGGGAAGAGAGGACAGTGCACAGGGAGCTGCACCTGTACCGGTCCCGACGCTGTGCTTGGGGCCAAAGCTTGGGAGCAAGAATGTCCCAGCTGAGTAGTTCAGTGGCAATAATCCTATCAGGGGGTTATGGCCTCCAGGATGCTCAAGCCCATTTAGCTGTCTTTTGGGATAAAAAACAGATCCCAAGTGCTCTCCCCTTGGCTCTTGCATGGCAACATGGGACCCGCCAGGAGGGACTCCCTGCCAAAACCAAAGGCAATGCCTGGGGCAGAGCCCTGCCTTTATGAAGCTAAAAGAAAAAGGTAGGGGGAAAAAAAGATTTTAGGGAACCTGATCACCAAAAGGCTAGGCAGCCCTCACGAAGTCCTGTTAGAAGAAGAAACAGGCTCAGCCCTTTTAAATCCTTTCCGATCCTGTCCCTATTCCTATCTGACCCTATCCCCATCCTTCCCCACTCATCGCTCCACCAGGGCATGGATAACCGGGTGGCCGAACACCCCCCAGGTGGCTCCTCGGGCACCTCAGGTCACCTTTGGCTGCAGGGCGAGGGCGACTTCTCGGTGCTCTCTGCAGAAATGTGTCCGTCCCTGCCTGGACTTTCCCAGCAATTCTGACGGCTCGGGTCCCCTGGCAGTGACACGTTTATGGTTATGGTTATGGATATTGCCTGATAGGGAGATGAAGATAGCACGCCCTATCTTAACCATACACAATCCCGACAAAACAGCTGCGTAAAACATTCTGAAATGGAATGGGCATGAGAGAAAGAGAGAGAAAGCGGGGGTCATCCCTTGAAGGGCATCCCCCTTGTGCTGCCGTAGAGATCCGCTGGCAAATACCTAATTGCAGATGTGGGTTAATCATTAAAGAGCCGAGTTCCTGAGCAGGTACACCGGGAGGACGGCTGGCACGTGGGGACACGGCTTGCAGGGGAAGGGGTCTGCGTCCCCTGAGCCTGCGGGTGCTGGGTGGGGAGTGGGACAAACCCGTTCCTGGTCCCCTGTAGGGATGTGTGCCTGTATAACATCGTGCCCTGCAGCTCCTATAGGGATGTGTGCCTGTATAACATCGTGCCCTGCAGCTCCTATAGGGATGTGTGCCTGTATAACACCGTGCCCTGCAGCTCCTGCAGGCAGCAGCTCCCCAGCTCTCCCTCCTGCCCCTTTCTCCTCTCACCGTGCGCCCTTCGCCTTTGCACAGGAGCCGCGCTGCCCGAGGACGCCCAGTGTGGGACTGGGGACGGTTTCGGCTGTCTTTATCTCCGCTGGATGGAGCCTTCCTCCACCGCCCTGGGGAAGACGAAGGGTAACCACCTCTGGGGGCAGGCGGAGGGGCCAGAGGGACAGAGTGGGGGGCACCCGCCCAAGGGCAGCTTTCCTATCGGGACCGGCTGCCAGTGCTGGCAGCACTCCTCATCGGGGATTTTGTCTTCCAGCTGGTGAAACTTTTCCTTCCAGGATGCTCCCGCTCTCTCTTCCTTGGCTACAAAAATTAAGGAGGAAATTCTTCCCTCTGAGGGCGGCGAGGCCCTGGCCCAGGCTGCCCCGAGGAGCTGGGGGTGCTCAAGGCCAGGCTGGGGGGGGCTGGGGGCAGCTGGGGCTGGGGTCCTTCCAACCCAACCCATTCTGTGAAAACATTTTAACTAAATATGCTTCTCTGTAGAAAACATGGTCAAGTAGATTTCAACCATAATACCAAGAATTTTATTGAAAAGAAAAAAAATAAAACATTGATTTGCAAACAGCAGTTAGCTGCTGAAAAATTGCTGAAATGTGAGCATTTCAGTGCAAGCAGAGGCAGAAAACATAGGGGAAAAAAACAACATTCCTCCATTAAGAACATAATGAGATATTTTTAAAAGCGATATGCTAACAGCTTGAGGACAGTGGCTGAGCAAAGCCATCGGGCTTTGACCTGAGACAGAACAGCGTTCCCAGCCGCCTGCTGCTGCCCCTCTCTCGGGTGCCTTTTTGCTCCCAGCCGCTGTGGTTTGCAGCCCCCAGCACCTCACCAGCCCCGCACAGAGCCAGGCAGATCCCGCAGCCGGGGCTGCCTTTCCTCCTGCTGCAGCCACGGGCAGGAGATTTTATAGGAAATGACAACAGCAGCAGAGAGAGACTGCTTTATTTTTAATGATGAGAGAGAGGAGACACCAGCCCTACTACTACATTTCCCTTTGCTCACAGCTTAGTCTCTGCTGCAGTGAATGACTGCACGCCTCCTGGCATGCACCAACACCTGGTTTTCCTCTCCACGTGTGTTTGTGGTTGTGTTTAATGCAGCTGCAAAGCAGCGACCCTGCTGCCCTGCTGTCACCTCCCCAGGCCCCTGGAAGGAGCATCTCTGGGCTTGAGCCGAACCAAAGGGCAGTTTCTACCATCCTCCAATGCACATGAACGCAGACAAATGAGCAGCTTATTAAAATGTGCAGGAAATTTTTCTGACCCACCCAAAATGCCTGCTAGGATGCAACTGGCTCCAGCCCACCCCTCCCTCCCCACCCAACCCCATCGCCCCCAGCTGAGTTCCCAGTCCCTGGGTATATCCAGCAGGTGCCTTGCCACAGCAGCTGCTGATCAGTTCCTCCTGCTCTCCTGAAAGGGCTGCAGGGAGCCAGCATGAGCACCTGGTGGAGGTGCTGGTGTCCATGCACCAGTGCGGGAGGCAAAGCTGTTCCCTGCTGGGGTTTTGGAGAAAGCCCGGAGCTGCTGGGCTGGTGGGGCAGCTGCTGGCGGCGGGGGACGAGGACAGGGAGTGAGGGGTGTCTGTGCTCATCTGCTGTGGGCTGCTTCCAGTGCTTCCCGACACGGCCTCTGCTGGTAGATGCACTCCCAGGTGTGTGTTTGAGGCTTTGTTCTCCTGGGTTTTGATTTCTGTGCACAGTGCTGCAAGGTTTAGCCACCTGCTGTTTTTCCAGGCTTACAAAGAGCTTTCCAGATTTACAAACGTCTTTCCAGGTTTGCATGCAGCTCTTTCCCGAAAGCCCAGAGGGCTCTGTGTGGGCTCCAGCCTGCTCAGGGCTGGGGCTGCTCTGCGGTGCCCCTTGGGTGCAGGGGATGGGGTCCCTGGGAGAAAGCTGGGTGAGCTGGGAGCTCTGCAGGGCCAGCTTGGGAAGCTTCCCCGGGTGCAGAAGCTCTTAAAGTCCTTCCTAACCTCTTCCTGGGCTTTTTGTGGTGTATCAGTGGGAATGAAGGTGGAGCTCAGCGCAGGCCTGGAGCTCTCTCTTAGCTCAGGGAAAGCCTGAGCACTTTCTCTGCCAGCAGGAGCATGTGTTTGCAGAAGTCCTCCTCTCCCACCTCCCCCCGTGCTCCTTCTCCGAGCTGAAACTGGGGCATCCCCCCCATGCCGTGCACGGAGGCTGGGAGCTGCCGGCTGCCCTAGGTGCTCCCCTGCAACCCCAAACCCCTTCCATCCTGCTGCCCTGCCTCAACTGCTGGCAACCCTGGCACGGGAGAGGACGAGGAGCTCGCTTTGGGGGGGGGTTTGCAATCTAGGTTAGGTGGGGAGCGCTGACATCAGGAGGAGGGTGGGAGGCAGCCCGCACATGACGAGTCTGTGAGGTTGCTGCTCGGCAAGGTGCGCGTTGCGTTAGTGATGTGTGTGTAGCAAATATTGCTGGGCTGGCATGGGAATGTGGGTCACCGCTGGCAGAACTGTTGGAGGAACAGGGAGCTGCTCCTGCCGTGCTGGGAAGGAAGCGTACGGTACTGAGGGATGCTCCTGGGGGGAGACTGAGCTGCGGTAACTGCTCCGGCTTGTAAGTAGCAGCTCTGCGGCGTGCCCGCGGGTGGCTGCTGCTGGGGGAGCATCGTCTGGTGTGTTGGGGTGAAGCCCTGTGAGGAGGGGGTGTGGGGGGCAGCAGTTGGTGTTTCTGGGGTGTAAGAGTCACATTGTGTTGTGAAACTCTTAAAGACTTGCTTGCTGAGGTTGTCAGTGGCCCTGGCCGTGCCTGGAGCATCCTTGCGCCCCAGCAGGCACACCGAGGGGTGCAGCCGGGCATGGATAACCATGAGCTCCGTGTGTTTTCCTGACCTAGTTCTGCCTCTGTTGTTCTGCATGTGTGCGCTTGGAGAATCTCTGTGCTTCGGGGGGAGTAGGATTTGTTAGTGATAAGGAAAAGCCTGCCTGGCTTCTGCCTGCTCGGGAGGCTTAAGCCAGCCTGGCTCTGCAGGTAGGCTCAGGCTGGGGAAGGAGGCTCAGAGCCTGAGCTGAAGGTGCTGCAGGATGGGGGTATCGGTGTCCTAAGCTGTACCTTGTGCCTCCATGCAGAGAGAGGCTCTTGTCTCAGAGCAGACACTTCATGAAACAGCCTGGTTGGAGGACGCTGCAGCTGGAGGTGCTCCACAAGCCCCTGCTGACCCTGGGCAGCAAAGGAGCAGCCCGGGGAGGGGAGGGCGCGGGGCTGTGGCCCCAGCAGAGCTCCCGGTTGTTGTTAGCAGAAATGCTTCTGCCTCGCTGTGGTCCTGGAGACCTGGCTAGAGCAGTGCTGTCTGAGCCCCTCGGGCAGCTGGGGGCTTTGTCCTGCATCCTGCACTGCCAGGAGGAGCCTCCGAGGTGAGTGGATGTGTTCCCAGGGCTTGCCCACGTGCTCTCCAGGATGCCCAGGCTGCAAACTGTCCACCTGCACCTGAAAGGAGCGACTTTCCTCCCCGAATCTGAGATCAGAGCGGTGTCTGAGCTGAATCTGGGTCTAAAAACAGGCTTGTGGGGGTTCAGATCTGGCGAGAACAGGCTGCATCAGCTGCTAGAGCTGCGGGCACACGCCAGGAGTGAAGAGCTGAGCTGCGTGGGCTTGGCTGGGCTGCTTCACACAGGGGCTGGGAGAGCTCGCTGCATCACCCCCTGCCTGCTGCCCTTTGCAGGGTCAGCTCGCCCCTGTGCTGTGGGAGCTGGCAGCCTGTCCTGCAGCGTGGGACAGGTCTGGGGGACAGATGCAGCCCCTGGCTCGGGTGACCTTCAGCAGATCTCGGTGATCCAGGCAGACAGCCAGGGAAAGGAGGACTCTGCCCGGTGGGAGGGGATGGGGCTTGGCCTGTCTGGGTGCTGTCCCTCCAGGGGTGCCCTTGCAGCTGCTGTGGGATGAGGTATCAGGTAAGGTCAGTGTGCCAGTGACCAGGCTGATGGAAGCTGAAGGGCTGCTGGGTTTTTCTTCACATCCCGGCTTTCCCTGCTGGTTCAGAAACTCCGAAGCCGCAGCCCGGCTGGTTCCTCACCAGTCCTGTGCTGCTGGAGAAGCCTGTGTTTCTGTGAATGTTTTGGATCTTTCCTTCTCTCCAAAATCAAAACTAGGGCTGAGCCGGAGTGCAAACAAGCCTTTGAATATTTCTGCTATCTCCTGCTAACCAAAACAAGGAGCTCCCCGGCTCAGGTTGTGCTCCTGAGGCTGTTCCACTCGCTCCGTGTGGTGGGCTCGGGGCTTGGCTCTTCCTCGGAGGTGATGATGAGGGGTGGTGGCAGCAGCCCGTGGGGATGCTCCTCAGCGGGAATCCCGGTGCTGGCTCTGGCTGCGTGTCCTTGGGCTGCTCATCATGGTGTGTGTGTGCTGGCTCACCTCCTGCGGGGCCCTGAAAGGTCTCGTTCACGTCCCCAATTACCCGGTCCTGAATGAAAGGGGCAGTGGATGTGCCAAGCGTGTGACGTCGCCCAGCACAGCATCGTCCTTGTGAGCGCTCCCCTTGTCCCTCCTGGGGACTCGGGGTGCCTGGTGGAGGTTTGGTGGCGGTGCTGGAGCCTGGGACCCCTCCCTGCCCTGGCAGAGGGTGCCTGCAGCAGGGCTCCTGCCCTACTGAGGGCTCCAGGTGGTGGGGGCGGGAGGGGAGCCGTCCTGGTTCCTATAACTCCCCGGGTATTTCGGAATGTGGGTGGAAGGGGGAGGAGGGTGGCTGTGGAGAGAGGAGCAAGGTCAGTGCAGAACAAACGTGCCTCTGTGCGCTCGCGCCGCCGGCTGACCGGCTCCGCTTCTCCAACTTTCCCCGCAGAACTTATCAGGCACGGCCGCGAGAGGATAGGACAAACCATCAAGGCGTCCGGCTCCAGGCTCTGCTCGTAGTGAGTACTGAAGCCCCCCAGCCAGGGGCTGAGAGCCCTTTAAAAGCCCAGCCCCAGGCTGCCCAGCCCGGCGGTGGATGGAGCTGGCTGGCACGGGCCAGATGTGGGCTGTCCCCGGGGCGGCCGCCAGCGCCCGCTGCCACCCGGCATCTCCGGCCGTGTCCCCCCTGCCGCAGGGCCAGGGGGCTCTGGGATGGCCGTGGATCTGTGTGTGGGGGTAGTGAGGGGCATCGCTCGCAGGTGAGACCCTGGGGGGCTGGCGGGGTCTTCAGGGCCCCTTTTGTACCAGGGAGGCTGAGGCACAGGGGGATAGGAGCCTACAGGGCCTCTCTGTGGGGTTTTGGAGGTTGGTGGGGACTCGGGGGGATGGACAAAGCTCTCTGGGGCAGGGAGAAGGGAACAGAGCTCTTTTCCTCCTCCCCTCTCTCTCTGACATCTGTTTAATCCTGGTTTTTGTAAGGGCTGTAGGGGAAACCTTAAAACCACGGGCAATCTCTGGGGTGGCAGGACCCAGTGCTGCTCGCATGGGGCAGATCTGAGCCAACAAGTGCTGCTGAGACCCCAGCCCCTCTTCCCTGCAATTTGACAGCCCCAAAACTGCCCTGTGTGGGAGCCTGGGCTGTGGGGCTGGGGGCTGCAGCATCCCTGCTTGGTGGGGTTGGTGCCTGGGGCACTGCTCGGGGTGGGTCTGGTCCTGCCTAGAGGGCTGCAGCCCCGTCCAGCCCTCGTCCTGTGCTGCTGGGGCTCTGCTGGGCTTCTTCGCGTGTCAGTGCCCTCAGCATGGTGTTTGGGATGGCTGTGCTTGTTTGAACCCCTGTGCACCCAGGAAGCTTTTCTCCCCCACCTCCTGTTGTCGTGCCCCTAACCCTGGGGGCGCAGCAGTGCTGCTGGGGGGATATTTGGGGAGCACATCTGGGGGCTTCTCTGACGGGGGGAGCGTGCACTGATCCTTGGTAGGTTAATGGTGGGAAGCTGCTTTTTTTTTTTTTTTAAAGTTTTTGTTGTCAATACTTCCCTGCCCTTCTCTTCCCCAGTGCTGAACGAGTTGCTTTTTTAATGGATCGTTCCCGGAGCCCAGACACCAGCGCTCAGGTGAGATCCTGGGTCTGGGCTGGCGAGGCATCCTCACTGGGGTGAAGAGGGGCTGGCCCTGTGGGAGAGGCAAGGAGGAGAGCCCGTGTCAGCATGCTGGGAGGTCTAGTCCTCTCTTGTTCCTGTGGGTGAAACTGGGTGGAGAAAAAGTAGAAGAGGTCCTACACAGATTTCGGGACAGGTGCAATGCTCCTAGAGTCTGGGGAGAGGAGGAAGGCTACGTGTGTGTCTGCGTAGGTCCTGAACTCCTTGCTGGAAGAGGGAGGCCGTGATATTGCTGTAGTGCATAGCTCTGCCCTCCCTTTCCCCTCAGTTTACCAGAGCACCCATCCCATGTCCCACCGATGGGTGTCCCTTGGGGTGGGGGGTGGATGCTGTGCTGAGGCCAGGCAAGCACAACCAGCGGCGTGCTCCTTGTGGCTAATACCCAACACCACTGTCCTCCTCTCCAGCCTCCAACGCCAGCTGACAACATCAACCTGGGACCTTCAGCTAACCCCAAGTAAGCTCCCTGCAGGAGCCAGGTAGGGTGTGGAGCTTGCTGTGAAGAGATCTGGCAGGGGGAAGCAGTCAGCTCCTGTGCCTCGGGTGGGTGGTGGTCACGAAGGGCCGAGCAACTGCATTAACTCAGCCTTTAACCCAGCGGGTAACACCGTGCTGCCTTCCCAGACACCCAGCTGCAGCTCATCCTTGTCCTACAACTGTCCTGCAGCTCTCTGTCCCACCCCTCTCTTCTGAGGGGAAGACTTTTCTTATTCCTGTTTGCTCCCCCACTAACTTTCTCACTACAAATGGGAATAAACTGTCTTAGCGGGTGGGTTGCTGAGGGTTCCTTGTCCTTTTCTCAGCACGCTGGCATAGGCGGTGTGAATCCCCAGCTGGCTGGCGGTGAGGATCACCTGCCCAGTGCCCTTTAATCCCTTTCACAAAAGCTCCTGATTCCCAGAAGGACCACTGCTCCCACAGAAGCGTTGCTGTTGCATGTTTTTTCTCCCAGAAACATTAACTTGCTTCGCTCTTGCTCAACAGTGCCAAGCCAACAGACTTTGACTTCCTGAAGGTTATTGGCAAAGGAAGCTTTGGGAAGGTAAGTGGGCTTGTGCCGGTGGGCTGGGGCGCTCTGCAGGCAGCCTGGGAGATGTCCTAGCTGAGGGAATTTGCTCTTCACTTGCCCCTCTCCAGAGGAACATGGCCATGTTCAGAGTGGGACTGGGACCAGATGGGACCTGAGGGAGGTTTTCTTTGTTCATTTGTACTCGGAGCTGTCCTGCCACCTCTCTAGGAAGAAGCATGGGGGGGTTTCATGCTCAAGGTGGTGATGGTGACGAGCAGTACTTCTTGTTTTTAAAGTCTCAGATGCTTTCAGTTAAGAGGATGCCTAGACAAAGTTGTGCTTTGTAAAATGGTCATGATCATCTTTAAATGAGTCTCTATGAATGCTCCTAAACAACTTTCCTTTGGGTGTGTAAGAGACATTCAGGGATGCTGCGTACCTCTTCCTGGCAATGTGAAAGTCCTGAGTGTGGGGAGCCAGTGGGCTAGTGCCTGGGCTTTAAACCTTTGTACCTGACCCTCCAAATTCCTAGTCTTGGTATAATCACTGGCAAGTGTTCAGCTGGTGAGGACACACTAACAGTGGCAGAAGGTGAGACTCAAACCTGTGTCCATGACTCTGTTCCAGGTTCTCCTGGCCAAACGCAAGTGTGATGGGACTTTTTATGCTGTGAAAGTCTTGCATAAGAAGACCATCCTGAAGAAAAAGGAGGTATGTCTGCTATCCCCAGCTGCTTCCCCTGGCAGTCAGTGTGTGAGCAATCCTGGTAATGCAATCGAAGCAAGTATTCATGTAGACAGCTCACATGTTAACCTTGGAGTTCTCTGTGCCATGGAAATATGGAGAAGAGTGAGATGAATCCAGCTGAGAGCAGAGTGCTTCCTTCCTGGGGCTGGAGGTGATCCATAGGGCTCTCAGCTCCTTTCAAAACAGGGGTGAGCCTGTGCAGCAGGCTGGATTGGAGTTTTGCCTGAAAACCTAATGCCTTGCGTGCTTTTTGCTAGCAAAACCACATCATGGCAGAACGCAATGTGCTCCTGAAAAATGTCAAGCACCCCTTCCTTGTGGGACTCCATTACTCCTTCCAGACCTCGGAGAAGCTTTATTTTGTCCTTGACTATGTAAATGGGGGGGAGGTGAGTACAAGCTTTATTTTTAATCTTCTGTTTGGTCCTTCCCAGGCATTCTGCTTTACTGCCTAAAGCTGTTTCTTGTCAGAAGATAATGATGTTGAAGCATAACATTACTTTGCTGGAAAGCACCAGCTAGGAGCAGTGCAACTTACCTCACTTACCAGCTAAGTGAAGATGTTAATGAATAGGACTTGTGCCAGCTAATTTTCATGGCAAGGATGTTGAGAAAAGTGTTAGGGGCACTTTAATATCCCCTGGAGAACATGGAAAATGGTGATGTTGGTGATTTTTCATGGAAAACCCACTTGTGGCCCAGCTCTAGACCCCAGTCTTGTGCTAAGGTGATGCCACTGCACCATGTCAGGCTTTGCTTTCTGACCTGCAACAGCTGCTCCCCGCAGCTGCCTCTTTCTGTGCTGCCAGAAACTGGCTGGGAGATGCTGATAACATGGATGTTTTGTTTATATAGGGGGCCCTAATCCATATAGGGGTCTCTGGGTTTTTCAGCTCTGCATGGGTACCACTCCTCATGGTCCCAGTACAGCTATAACACACTTAGCAAGCAAAGAGTCTGAACTAGGCCAGGAGATGGCCAGGTTTGGGGCAAAGTGAGATAGTGATAGAAGATGAGGACAAATTAAGCACCTTTCCAGAAACTGCTTTGAGAGCTAAATAAGGCTGCAAGATTTGGGCTTATTTGGTGCTGTTCATGTGCCACTTGCTGCAAATCAGTTTTCACTTGAGCAGCTGGCTTCCAGGCTTGCTCCAGATACCCTCCGCCTTCTAGAGAAGACATGACCAACCCTCTCATCTGTTTCTTAGCTCTTCTTCCACTTGCAAAGAGAGCGCTGCTTCCGTGAGCCCCGGGCACGATTCTATGCTGCAGAAGTTGCCAGTGCAATTGGGTACCTGCATTCCTTAAACATCATCTACAGGTGAGGCGTGTGCCTCTGCTGGGGACAGCCTGCCAGGCTGAGTGCAGGGCTGCGGGGGGAAAGGTGGTCTTGGGGAATCGTGCAAACACCAGGACTGGGGTAGCCGAAGTTTCTTATTGGACAAAAAGGTGAACTGCTGGTGTTTTACCCTGCAAGAGGTGTGCTGACTGCATGGGGCCTGCTGAGCAGTAAACACTTCTAGAGCAGTAGCAGGGAGGAGAGAAGATGGTCGAGTGAGATCTACAACACACCTGAGTAAGAAACTCAGTGACAGCTTCTACATGAATACACAGAAATACAGGCTCACAGCTCACCCTGTGTGGTGAGAGCAGCCTTTCATTAACATGTGTTAATATCCAACAGTGATAGGAGGTTGCACTTGGGGAAGGTCCTGGTGAGATGGACTGTGAAGTTCTGGTAGCTCCCGTTCTCAGCTGGTGCTGTATCAGGTCAGGCTTCTCTGAGCATCTAGCCAAATCTGCTCAAGCAGCCCTTCTTGTCTTGCAGGGATTTAAAACCTGAGAACATCCTTCTGGATTGCCAGGTATGTGCAGCTCTCATGCTGCCTTTCTTTTGTTTTTAAAAGTGTTTGGATCATAAACAGAGGGCTACAGTCTTGCAAGCCAAGCTATTTCTCCACTGCATGGGTTTTGTGTGTGTGTACCACTGTTCCTGTGCAGATCTTGTGGTTGGGAGTCAGCATTCTCCCTGAATAGCTGCGTACAGATCTCTGCCCCTACCCAGGAGTAGGACCTGGCTTGTGGGGTCTGGGACTGGGGTGCTAGGAGCAAGTCACTGCTTCTCTGGTGGTGACCCTATGCAAACTGGCTCTGGGATAAAGCAGTGTCAAAGCACAGCAGTGCTGAATGTCTCCCCAGTTATGTAGTTGTAGAGAAACCTGTGGGGGGGGAAAAGTCTGGATTTATTTTATGTGTTTTCTCTACAGGCTCAGGTATTTGCATGGTAGGATGCCCAGAAGGTGAGGGAGGGGAGATGTATATTTTGGTGCCCCAGATCATTAATTAGATACAGTGCTAAGGCCAGTGCTTGGAAATGCTGATTCTTTTTTAGAAAGAGTGGGCTTGGGCTGAAATTCCTCTCTTCTCAGGGCCATATAGTATTGACAGACTTTGGACTCTGCAAAGAAGGAATGGAGCAAGAGGAGACGACTTCCACATTTTGTGGCACTCCTGAGGTACGGCCTGTGCTGCAGCTTCCCTGCGATCTGGGGGTGAAAGCCTTCTGGGTCCCATGAAGACCCCGTGGCTGCTCAGCATCTCTGAAAATGAGCTGTGGATGCTGGCCAGCCCTCGGCTCCTGAGGTTGTCAGCCCGAAGCTGCAGTGGAGATGAGGCCTCTCCTACTCAGCAGGGTCTGTTCTACCTCTAATGGCTGGCTAGTACTTTAAACTTGCTGCATTATCAGGGCAGGGATCCCTGCTCTTGGAATGGCACCAGGGCAGCTCCAGGTGGTTGTGGAGACAACCTTGACCCTGGGAGCCTGGCCTGTGGCAGCTGCAAGCAGGCTGTTTGTCCGTGTAGATACCCGGAGCTGCAGAACATGGAACACGCTGGTACTGACACACACAGGCCTTGCTGTACCCTTCTGGGTGCCCAGGAGCTGCAGAAATCTCACGTCCTGAGTTGAGGATCTGGCTGTGGGGAATGTCCCCTTGCTGGGGACAACTTTTCCTGCTCCTTACTAAGCTGGGAGTTCTGGCAGTGCTTTGCTCTAGGTTTTATCCCTGTCCTGCTGCCCTTTGGGTATCTCGAAGGGTCTGTAACCAAGACACCCTTTGGTATTCAAGCTCAGTAGAAGGGGCAGGGAATTGCTGGTGGCAGACCTTAGTTTACAGTTGGGACAGACTTATGCAATAGTACAGCATGAACCAAGTGGGACTGCCTGAGCTTTATTTGTTTTTTCCTGCCTGAGATAGGGAGCCTGATAGCACTTGGACTAATGCATGAGAGCAGGCTTGATATGCTGCTTGTTCTGCAGGTCACTTAAATTCTTGCCTGTTGTTCCTGGGCAGTGGTTATCAGTAGTGTCACTGCTTTGGACCAACCTACTGGGCCTGAAAACTGCACATTTCTCAAAATTATGTGAGCCTGTTACAAATGTAACCAGCAAACCTGTCCTGCACTGACATGTTGAGTTGGGGTGAATGGGCAGTCCTTGTACAAGCCCGTCCTAGGAAGGGAGCACTCCGTCCCAGAGAAACTCTTGTGGCTGTGGGGGGTAGGTGCCTTTCAAACACCTTATTATAAGGGAGATGGAGTCTATCACAGCCTAGTAGGAGATGCAGTGCAGTTGTATGCTTCCTAGTGTGTTTGACTGATGTGAACTGCAACCAGGTTTGTATGTTTATGAGGGCAAAACCCTTCCTTTATAATTTGACTCCAGTATTTACTCCTGACTCTCCCCAGTACTTAGCTCCTGAGGTGCTAAAGAAGCAGCCGTATGACAGGACCGTAGACTGGTGGTGCCTGGGAGCTGTCCTCTATGAGATGCTCTTTGGACTGGTAAGTTTGGGAGTTGTCTATTTCATTCTACATGGTAGAAAAGTTAAGAACTTATTTCCAAGCCTTATGATGTGACATCAGACTGGTGTGCCTATGGTACCTGATATGGACAACTGAATTCTGAATGAAATGACCTGGTTCAATCATACCCTTGCGCATACCCAACAGCTAGATGGCAGGTTTCCATCTTCTCCCTGTGGGGCTCATTTGGACCTGTCCTTTGTGGTTCCTTATGCCTGTGTTTTATCTGGCTGCTTCTCTTCTCTTTCACATTAGCCACCTTTTTACAGTCGGGATGTGTCTCAGATGTATGACAACATTCTGCACAAGCCACTCCAGATCCAAGGAAGTAAGACCGTGGCAGCTTGTGACATCCTCCAGGGACTTCTCCATAAGGACCAGAAGAGGAGGCTGGGCGCCAAAACAGACTTTGTAGGTGGTTTCTCCTATGACTGAGGGGAGGATGGATAGGAAGCCTTTCTACTGAGTCTCTTTCGTGCTAACAGCACTGCCTTAGAAAGCTTTTCCTATGTAGATTGATCAGTTTCCAGCCCCCTAAAAGGGGGCATGTGAGGTTGACTCCTTTCCAAAGGGAAATGCTGTGGTTCCAGATGTGGTGGCAAGCTACGACATGTGATGGTATCATCCCTTCAAGGGATTACAGGACCATGACCCTTATGCATTAAGGACTTGTTACATCACTCCTACATGGACATGTTAGCTCCAAATCTTGTTCCCGAAACTTACTGCTATGAAACCATTTGGCAGTTCCTGGAAGAGAAGGTCTTATAGATTGACGCTCCCTCCCCTCTTTCTATACAGCTGGAGATAAAGAACCACGTATTCTTCAGCCCCATAAACTGGGATGACTTGTACAACAAGAGGATTACCCCTCCATTCAACCCCAATGTGGTAAGTGGGTATTTCTGTTTGTATCTACTTTAAATAAAAAAGGAATCGGGCCTGTGAAGTCTGAGGCACTTCTCTTACATCAACACTGAGGGATGCTGAAGTGTAGGTGATGCACTGCAGATGTGGTTGGGGACTTTGGAAGAGTGGCTGTGTTAGATTGAATACAAGTAGGAGGTTGGGGTCTGATCACTCAAAATGATGTGTCTCTCTGCTCCTTGGCTTAGGCTGGTCCAGCTGATCTGCGACACTTTGATCCAGAGTTCACCCAAGAAGCGATCTCTGCCTCAATCACCCACACGCCTGACTTAGCAGCCAGCAGCTCCAGTGCCTCAGATGCTTTTTTAGGATTTTCTTATGCACCAACTGAAGAGGACTTCTAAGTTTTATAAAGGCTTTAAGAAGCCAGATTTTAACTGAATGGGTTTTATGTGTTTGTTTGTTTGTTTGTTTTTTCCTTTTTGAAAGAAATGGCACTGTCCTCTGCTCATGGCTTATGGTGAGGGGGACTAATACACTAACTGGCTGGGATGGAACAGAGCTCTTAATCTGTGCTGTTTGGATTTCCCTCTATATGTGTGTTTCCCTGGCAGGGAAAGTGGGACACCAGTTATTATTATTTTTCCCGAGTGTCTTGTACTACTTGGCAGAATTGTATTCACTGGGGTTGTATCTATGGTTGAGGTATGTATCATCATTCACATCACAGCTGTGTGTGTGGAACTAATGCTGCCCAGCTATGTATGACTGCTTTGCTTTCCTATAACAGAGGGAAACTCTTCACCCTACATACAGCAGTGGCTCCCTTCAAGTGGAAGTGCTCATTTAAGTGGTTGTGGAACAAGCAGTCTGGTTACTGGTGGCCAGGCTTGAGTTAAACTGGGGTAGTTCAGTGAATCTGCCACCTAAGCCATTAAAGATCTGGTAGCAGCAGAGGTGCATGTTAGATTTTAATGCTCTAGAGCAGAAATGCAGGATTCAGCAGGTGTTGCTGAAGAAACAGAGCTGCCACAGCAGCTGGGATGAGCACTGCTACTTGTGGAAGGAAGCCATTTCCTCATCCTGGGCTCAGACACTGATCATCTTTCATTGCTCCAACGACAGCTTATGGGTTTGTAAACTCTGAAGTGGGCTGTAGCCTCTCACAGGAGCCAGTTCTTGCCGATGACCACTGGCTCTCCCTCTGACCCAGGACCGGGCTGCTGTATGTAAAAATCGATGTAGAAGGGGCTGTGTTGTTTGTCAAAATAAAAAGTTGGTGGGGAAGCGGAGGGTGGGAATCCTTTCACAGCATGTGCTTGACTTCTCCTGAGGACCACAAACACTGAAATGGGCACAGGGAGCATGGGGTGGGGGTGCTGGAGCCCCCCAGGAGAGGTATTCTCTCCTCCCTACAACCCTGGCTTCTGTGCTCCTGGGGTGCTCTGGAAATGCCTGTCACAGTTGATCATAGATGTAGAAGAGTTATTTATTCTGCCTTAATTTAAATGCTGGTGTACTTATTGAATGTCACTTCCTATTCTTTTTTTTTTTCCTCTCCAAGTTCTTGGGTTCCTGTGGGGAGGAGAGAGGGGGATAAGAAATTGTAACTTATGTACAACACATGGATAAATAAGGGCATTTCTAAAAATGGGGTAATGCTCACTCTTGACTTTTTTTTTTTTATTTACATTATCAGCCCCTATCTTGTACATGCTGGAGGCATTAGAAAAATGCCACGGTTTATATTAAAGTGCATACACTGATGTGTTTCCCTCTCTTGGGCCTGCTGTAAACAAATGCTGGGGTGGGAGGAGAGGAGGAAGGCAGGTGTGGGGGTGCTGTGGAGAGGCTAATTTTTAATTAACAACCTTAATTGGGCGCGGGGCGGAGCCCTGAGGGGGAACTCAAGACTCCCTGACGGGGCAGGCTCCGCCCGGCGCCAGGGCTCCCCTCAGCGGGCGGAGCGCGGCTCCCCCCGCCCCGCCGCAGTGGTACGGCCCCGCCCCCTGGTTTCCCGAGGAACGGAGCAAACCACCGCGACGACCCCCAGCGCGGAGGGGGGGGGGGCGGCTCCCACGCGTGCGCGGTGCTGGGCGGCGGGGATCGGCCGAGCCGGGAACGGCCCCGCTGCGGCCCCGGCCCCGGCCCCGGTCGGCGGCGCGGCTCCTCCCGGCCGCTCCTCCCCGGCCTTCCCGCAGCTGGTCCGCATGGAGAAGGGCCCGCGGAACGGGAACGCCATCGCCTTCAGCGCGTCCAAGGGGGAGGCCTTCGCGCCCACCAGCAACTACAAGGCCTGGCGCAAGAGGCTGAGGGGGAACTGGAGGATCCTGAGGTGAGGGCGGCGGGGCAGGTCCGGGGGGAAAAGGAGAAAGGAGGAGACCTGCTTGGTACAAATTTTAACAGCAGTTGTGGCAGTTTGTACCAGTTCTGGAGCAAAAAATGAGTGTGTCTTTAGAGGTTCTTTGCGATTTAATAGGTTCAGATTCCTAAGGGTTATCGTCACTCGGGTTACCAACCTTAAACCAACACAGAAGGTTGTGAAGCGACTGAAGGAATCGGCTTTGTTTGTTTCTGGTTCTTTGAGGGAAAAAAAAAGTTGTGGTTCAGGACCGCATCCCCAAATAACATTTTCTTACTGATCTATCCGTAGCTTAAAAGATGAGATCACATCTGAGAAGCTGTTCGGGGTGAGGCTGTGGATAACGGCTGGTCCAAGAGAAAAGTTCAGTGCTGCTGAGGTAAGGAGTCAGGGCTTGTTGGCACGTTTGTTGTATTTAAGATTGGCTTAATGTGAAGTAGAAGAGAACAGTAAAGGAGAATTACTCCTTTATATGAATTTACACAAATAAAGATTTGATTGCTTTTCTAATAGGATCATTCAAGTTCATTGTAAGTAGTCAGACTCATTTACCTTCCTTCATCTCGGTACAACTTCTTGCAGTCTTGCTTTTAGCTTCTTTCATGTACCTTTTTCTGGATGTTTGTTGTCTTTTAGTTTTTGGTTCTGAAGAAATTCCTGGAGGATGGTGGAGCCATCCTGGTGATGCTGAGAGAAGGCGGGGAGTCCCGATCTGGCACAAATATTAACTTTTTGTTAGAAGAATATGGAATCGTTTTCAATAATGGTAATGGGACTCGCTGATGTCTTTTATTCTTACATTTTTAGCAAAATCAAAAGGGCAGGTTCAGTCTTTGTAGGTATGAGCCTTGCAGATCCCTCTCCCAAAGTACGTTTTTGTACCTTTTCGAGATATTTTCTCCTGAAATCTGTATGTGCATGGAAGCCTAATCGTGAAGCACACCAAGAGCTTTCCATGGATGTGGAAACTTGACAGCAACAAGTGGCTTGATAGCAACTCAGCCATCTCTGTACCTTTGCTATATTTGACAGCTTTGGTGGAATTTACTAAAATAAAATTACTACTAATTACACTTATTGGTTAAAAGGCCTTTCACTTTAGAAATTTGTTTCCACACGTTTTAATGAGTTGAATCACTCCGTGCTCACCCGAAATCAACAGTGGCACTTTCCTTTAGCAGACCAGTAAAATGCCATTTCTTAGGTTTTGTACAGCCAAAGTATATAAATCAGCTGTGTGTGTCAGTGTACATGAAATATTTTTGGGCTCTTTGGTGGTATTTGCTCCCTTAGACTGTGGTGGTTTTTTTTTTGTTTGTTTGTTTGTTTGTTTGTTTCTTTGAATCAACCCTATGAGCTTCGTGCTTTTGGAAGATAGATTAAAAAATAACTTGAACTTGACAAACTTGACACGTATTCTTTTAATTTGATTTTTTTTTAATCTGTAGAAGTGTGGAAGACATGGAGATGTTTATTTTTTATATTTTTATTTGAACTTTTAAATGTATTCCTGTTCTAAACCTTTAAGTGCAAAAGGAAGTGGTAGTGAAGGCTGATCTGAATGCTGGTCTGAATTCTTTTGAGAGCTGCATGCCAGTGCTGTGGTGTTAGAAGCAAACATCCAGGGAAACCGAGAACTATACTCGTTTTACATTGCTATGTCTGGCATATTGATCAGTTAAGATGTAAATTTGCTATTATTTATTTATTTATTTTTTAATTCAAGATGCTGTTGTAAGAAATGTATATTACAAGTACCACCACCCGAAAGAAGCTCTGATCTCTGATGGAGTTTTGAATAGGTAAATATTTTGCTTGTATGGACCTTTACAGTGAGCTCTGTTAATCCATCGTTTGTTCACTAGGTTTTGCTTTTCTATATGTTTTAGGGGAATCAGTGAAGCTGCAGGAAAAACAGCACTTGAGACAACAGATGAAGATGGAAGCATACGCAACTTGCAGTAAGTGTTTTCCTTTCAGGTAGCTGCTGTGAAAAGATTTAGCCTAACTCAATTAGCAGACTCGTAATCTAGCAGGAGTTTATTTCATTTGTGTTGAGGTTTTCTAACATGTTTATGTCAGCTTCTTGCTCCTCAAGGATACATCTGGAAAGGAGACTGTTTAGTAACTCTTGATAGCCACGTAAGGAGCAGGAGTGATAGATCTTGAGGTGAATTATTACTCTCCTGACCAGATCCTTTTTTTTTTCCCCTCATCTGTAGATCTGAGTTTTATTAAACAGCATAAATGTGAATAAGCTATAGGTAGTGGGTGGTCTGGCTGTAGACAAGAGGAAAACCGCAATTTTTAGAGTTTTACTCCAGGGCGAGATAGACATTTGTTATAATTTTTAACTTTCTGTCAGTACTGTGCTATTCTGCAGAGAAGTGGGAAGGCATTGAGAAGAATACGTTTTTTCCATAAATAACTTAATATATATTTGTATTCTTTCTTGCTGCTGGTTTATAGACTAATAAGTAACTGTGTGGTTGTTTACAAGGAAAAATGTAAGTGTAAAAGCATTTAATACAGTTTTGTTTCAGAATATATATTTGTCTATGAGTTTAATGGCCCTGCACTTCTCTCAGATACAGGACAAACAGAAATCAAAAGCAATCTTTGTTATATGAGATGAGTTGTCAACCTGGGAATGCCTGTAGAAGGAGACTAAAATGTCATTTTAATGATGTGAATTTTTCAAAGCATGGTTTTTGACGTTCCATCACCAGTGTACAATTAAACTGCTCAGTTTAGGCAGATAAACTGAGTCTTATAAGTATGTCCAGCCTACCTGATACATGCAGGTACTTCAGGATGTTTTGTATTTCTTTGCAGAGGTCTCACTTTTGTGTATCCATTTGGTGCCACGTTGAATGTGATGAAACCAGCGGTGGCTATTTTGTCAACAGGGTCTGTCTGCTTCCCACTCAACAGGCCTATTCTTGCTTTCTATCAACATGAGGTATGATTCTTCATGAAACAAACCATGCATTCTGCCCCAGCTCCCCACAAAAATTGTGTTTTTTGTTTTTTATTTTTTTCTGGGAGCACTAGGGAAGACTATTTATTTATTAGGGTGCCAGAGGGATATTTTTAGTTCTTCTGTAATGTTTCATGGTTTTGTTTTGTTATTTTTTTTTCTTCATAATTTTAGTGACTGTTTAATGAGATTATTATTTTCATTAATACTGAGTTAAGGAAGAGGATCTGTCCTTTGTTAGTTTATTAAAAATAAATAAATTTGGAAAACTAGTTAGTAGTTGATGGGTACCACAAATTAATATTGCTCCTGGATATAACTAGGTTAGCACACATTTTAGTGTGCAGATGAGTTGCTAACACTACGGTGTTTTTTGATGTATTAGGCAGGAAGGTGATTTTATTTTATTTTATGAGGATGCCACTATTCATTCTTCCATGTTGTTGCTGAAATGCACCCTGTAAATCAAAGACCATATGGCAGCATGAAGTGAATTTACAAGTACACTTACCACTTGCATTTTATTAGCAGCTGTCAGAAGATAAAATAAAATCCCTCTCCAGACACAATATTTGTACGTAGATCCTACGGGCCTGTAGGCTCATGCCTAACCTTGCACCCATGATAATCTTGAAGTGATTTGCATTACTGTAAAAAAAAGCTGTCTGTGTAATGTAAGTCATCTAGGTTACGTAAAGCCGTAACTTTAGAAGTGTTACTAAAAAAACCTTTAGAAGTGTTAGAAGAAAGTGTTTTTTTTCTGAGAATTGTAACAGCTACATTAGTCTGGAAGTGAAATCCACATAACTTGTTTGTACCTCCAAGAGGCTTTTTGCATGGGTTGATCACCGAAATGGAAACAATTACACATCATGCAGGTAGTTCTTCCTGCAATAAAATATCCTAATGTGAACGTCAAATAGATGCCATCATTTTTCCTTGTCTAGTTTGCGGAAGTTGTAGACAAAAAGGTAGAAGATGAAGCCAGAGACAGGGGTTCTCTTTCAGGCAGAGCAGAGAAACTTGTCAGAAGGAAAACAAAATCTCTTGGAGCAAAGAAGAGATACAGTAAAGAACAGCAACAGAAAGTGAAGGAGTGGAAAGTAAGAGCAGAGGATGCTGTCTCGTTACACTGTTGTGGATAAAGTGTGTGCAATTCAAGTTAAAACTTTGTTTGCAAAGTATGGAGTAAGAAACATCAGAAATTGTTAGACAGGCTGGAGCTCTGTCTGAGATGTCTTCAAACTCATTACAGCAGTCTTTATGCTTATGTTACGCTGCGAGTCTCACAGTTGGTGCAGGGAGCATACAGGCATTTTTGTTCTGTTGAACACTTACTATTTTTTATACATGTCCTTGTGGAAGGATTCAGATTAGAGAAGAATTCCAAAGATGTTTCATGAATGCATTTTCATGCATGTTTGATTTAGCTAAATGAAAATAAAACAACCAGAACATTTTGCATTTTCATATTAGAAATAATGAAATTACCAAACTCTTCTCTCATTAAGTGATGTGCATATATGCTATATTGACATGTGCACGTGTCATTGTCCTTCAGGTTTGCATCCATTTACTTAATTCTTTTTTGCTTCATGGAAAAAAAAAAAAAATTTCTGCAAAAATAACCTATGTGCAGCTACTGTTGATGGTACTGGGATTTTGTTGATTACCAGCCAGTTGTCTTTCTAATCTTATGAAGTGCAGATCGGTATTTTTTGTAATTTTATGAGCCTTAAGAGCATATGTTCTTTTAATAATGCTGAGCTCTTGTGAGCTTGCCATGTTTGAAACTGCCTTTGGCACTACTTATTCCAAAATCTCTTATTTCTTTAAATTGCTTTGTAATTGGATGCCATTAACAATTGCCTCGAAAACTATGATTTGGAAGGATTTTTTTGCTATATTGTATTCTTTATTGATAGAGTAAAGGTGGAAGGATGGCAGCACTGGGATCTTGCCACATGTTCAGTGATCAATATTTAGATAAAGAAGAAAACGGTAAGATCATGGTAAGTTAAAAAAAAAAAAAAAATAATAATCACAGCAGTTCTAAAGAAGTCCAAGCTTACCAAGTTTGTTTTAAAGCTTAGAGCAAGAAATTGATTCAGTGCAGAGTTTCTGACCCTGTGCTAATGTCCTGGGGACTTGGCCAGAGCACTAGTAACAGGAAGGAGTTTTTAAAGACACAGCTTACGTTATAGGACTCTGAAAACCTTTTCCTATTTCTGTTCACCACTTTATTGTTATTAAAATGGTCAGTAGCTCTTTTATTTATTACTGTTTCATAGTTTCTTCAGTGCTTTATTATTGCTTTATGATTAATAAACCTTTGCATATATAGCTCCTGATATGTGGTGATCACGATGCACTTTCCAAAGTGCACTGTATAACATTATGTGTAAGCAGGGTGTTTTCCTGAAAGCATACATCTCACACAAAGTATGATCATTGTCACAACTCATTGCTTCCCTAAGCAAATACGTATAAAGTTTGTATTTTATCCCTAGATATTATTTGACTTATTACCCATTTTTTCTTTTTCTCTGCATTTAATTTATTAAATTAATTTGAATGTTTAAGTACTATAGCAGATTACTCAGACTTTCCTGAAATTAAAGTTTTACCCTTCCCCAGGATGTGCTTTTCCAGTGGCTTACAACATCAGATGTCCATTTAAACCAGATGGATATGGAGGACCCTGAGGTAAGAGAGATCCATCACAAGGAAGTAAATAATAGTGTAATCCAGCAGGACCTGTTTTGCCAAAACATGTATTTAGAGTGAAATGGCTAACAGCTAGGTGAATACCGTCGTTGTTACACACACCTTATTCAAGGGATGAGGTTGAGTAGACAGATGTACTGGGCATGAAATATAAATTGAAAAAACCATATATGTTAGACTTAGATTGGTGCTTGTTCGTACAGTTTCAGTGAAAAGCTCTTCCCAATTTGCCTGTGTTTATGAGATTATTTGCTGTTCCATGTTAGTACGTATGCACTTTAGTTTATATCAAATTTAGTTTAGGTTATTTTTTTTTAACTCGCATATGCAAATGTTATTTTTATTTAGAAATACGAAAAAGTGTATACTTCTTATGCATAAGGAGTATGAACTTGTTTTGCACAGTTGACTATTTAGCTGTCTTTTTTTTTACTTTAACAAGAATTAACATAAATTCAGACAGTCCATTCATGTGGCAAGTAGTTCTACAGCTAATATAGCAGAATTTGCACAGTTTCCTGATCTAGTAATCTGCACTGCAAAGGGTCATACCCAGTGAAGAGTGAAATAATTACTTACGGATGAGATTCTAGGTGAGGTATAAACTAGAAAGAGGCTATGTAAATGGATTGCTCTTTTTAAATCATAACAGTGTGTGTCTGTGCGTATGTTCAGATTTCAGACTATACCATGCTCCCAGATGCAGCTGCGCTGTCTGAACAACTGCGAGTCTGTCTGCAAGAAGGAGATGAGAACCCAAGAGACTTCACAAAGCTGTTTGATAAATCCCTTTATCAGCTGGATACAACTGCCCTCCCTGCAGTTATCAAGTCAGCAGCTGTGAATTTTTTATTTAATTATTTTTGCATTCTGTATTCTGCGTTTTCTGCTTGTGTGTACTCAGTCTCTTCTGCTCCTAAGCAGACAGAGCTGTAGGCAGCATTCTGAATATGGATATACCAGAGGTTTGGGCATGACATTGGTTTGCTCTTGCTTCTTCTTTTAGCTATAGTTTCTGATGTTCTTTTTTTTTCCCTTTTCTTACTATTGCTGACTCAGTGAGCTGATATTTTTTATAGCACTGTCTGCAGTGACACTGGGTACTTTCTGAAGTGATAACTGAGAGCGAGTTGTATTTCCACTTACGTATTACTTAGCATTGGCTGAAGCTGAATTTCATTCACATTTGCATTTCCCAATAATTCCGACTTGAGATTTATCTGCTGCTGAGTTTTATCAGTTTTGTAGCGCTAGCAACGTTGTCCCTTATAACTCACATTATCTAGGTCACGTATGAACATGTTGAATAATAGCAGACTTAACACAGATTTCATGAAACTCCAGTCTTGCAGACACTTTCTTCCTGCTCCATATTTATTGTATTTTCAATAGATGTGAATTCATCTTGAGATTTTTCTTCTGATCCCATAACAAATAATTTTTTAATGGCTTTTGTTTAGGGACTTTGTAAAACTTGTTTGAAATCAACTGTTTTTGAACTGGATTACTTTTTCCTCATGCACATTCATCTCTTCAAAAGTTGTTTGAAGAATTGAGAGGTGTGACTTCCTTCTTTTTCCTCATCTGATATATCCAGCTATCATTATTGTCTTCTCAGGCGTAATTTTAACTTACTTGTTTGCTTTAGAAGTCAGCTATCACTGATACATAGTTCTCTGGGGTCTTTCAAAACTTATACGTCCCAGTTTTATGCTATTACTTTGTGCAAAATGTTGGCGCTGGTATTTTGTAAAAATTAACCTCTGTAGCCTTTAATGCATGCAAATGGAAATGCATAGTGTGTTACGTCTCCTGTCACACTGTATCTTCTTCTGTGCTGCAGAGCTTATGAACAGCTGAATGTGAAACATGAACCTCTCCAACTTATACAACCTCTATTTGAGACTCCGCTACCTGCCCTCCAGCCAGCTGTAAGTAAAATCTCCATGCTGATAAAGGATATGGAGAGTCTTTGTTTCATATAATAACTCTCATTTCCATACTTCTTTTAAAGAAGAGAGAGAAATGCTGTAGTAATAATTAATGACTTAGGAGATGAATACATTGCAAAATCTTTTAAGGAGTTCTTATTTATGCTTTTCAAGCTCTGTTGATAAGAATTCAAATGTAGCATCTGGTACCATAGCTTAACTTTCCTGGAGAGCTCAGAATGCCTTGCGTATATAATCCCTTCAGCCAACTAGCTGCTTCCAGTCCTGTGAGGCACTGGGGTTTGGCTTTTACCTTTTACTGTGAAAACAGAAGGTGGCATTTCAGGAAAGCAATGTATTGTAAGCAATACACTGACTGCTGCCAGGGGAGGAGCCAGTCTGTCCTGCTATTCTTCGATCTTCTGCATCTGTTCAGGAAGTAGAAAGTGAAATAGCTTTTTGACAGCAAAGGCTGGCCAACCTTTTACCAGCAGAGATTTTGCTGGCAGCAACAGGAGATACTGCAGTGTCAAACTTCTCTCAAAATGCAGGTATCTGACTTTTGCCATCATGGCTCCATCCTTTTTTGGCTTGGCCACTGAGGAAACGTTACTGTGATGCTGACAGCTGCAGGGATGCAACTCAAAGTAGTGTCTCATGTACTGCTTTTTTAAAAATGTGTTCATTTAGAAATAAAGTACTCTTTTAAGCACTTGTAAGTCCTGTTAACAGTTACTCTTGTGGTGTAGGTGGTGACTGCACAAAAAAGAAAATACCCTTACCAGAATTAATGTAGATAGGTTTCAGTGTGAGTTGTTATGGCCTGCTTAGTGCCTTGACTATCTGAATAGTAAACTGAATCACCTGTATCTCCTGGAACAAAATTAAAAACAAACCGTGCAAATGCAGCATGTCTAGTTGTGGTGCTAGGTGGTAAATCTGGCATACTCATGACTAAATTCTTTTGGAATATTCAATTATTTTTATGAAATACTAATTTAATTTTTAAAAGGTTCTGCTTTTGTACTCTGGGCTTTGGAGTTGCTTTTGACTTTATAACAGTTTTCTTGAAGTCCAGTCTAAAACTGATATCTTAAAGATTTGTGAAGTGTAAGAAAACTAATTGTCAATAATTTGTGCTGATTCTCTTCAAGGTTTTTCCACCTGCTTTCAGAGAGTTGCCTCCTCCCCCTCTGGAGCTGTTTGACTTGGATGAAACCTTTTCATCTGAGAAAACTCGTCTTGCAGAGATTACAAACAAATGTAAGCAGAACAAACTTATTTTTTACACACACTTGTTTATACGTTTTTGGAGGGAAATGGAAATCCACTTGGAATTTGGTTCCACAGGTTTCATGGAAATACACAGTTGTAATTCTGGGCCAAGATTGCTCTGGGCCTTGGAAGTTGATACATGGCTTATTGGTCTTGAAAACATCAGGTAGCAGCAGTGCAATTTTGTTTTCCTTTCTGTCTATTGTCTTCCTCATTCAAGTAGACATATGACTTGGAAGGCCTGCTGTCAGAGTTGCTGGCTTCCTTTTCAGTTATTTTGGGGAATGCTTTTTGAAGTTAGCAGTGCAGTAACTCGCACTGTCGGTAAGTACCTGGTAAGATTATTCTTAACACACCTTAACTTGAAACAAGAAGAGAAAGTACTAGCTGCAGAAATACATCATGGCTAGTCCTCTGAACTTATTTGTAAGATTCCCCAGGATATGAAAAATGAATGGAGGTTGGTATTTAGTATATTTTTGCCCAGGCAGCATGGGGTGTGTGTGATGTTCAACTGCCCCCTTCCTTGGGATGCTTTTTTAGGTACTGATGACGACCTGGAGTTTTATATACGGAAATGTGGCGATATCCTAGGAGTAATAAGTAAACTCCCAAAGGAGAAGCAGGATGCCAAAAATATACTGGAGTACATCTTCTTCCAAGTGGTTGAGTTCAAGAAACTGAATCAGGTATTTTTAATAACAGAATTACAAGTGAATTATTAGTAGCATCAGCCAGCACCGAAGCATTTTTGTAGCACCTGTCATTGTTACACTCAGGCAATGCAGCAATGTGTTAAGGCATCTGATGTGTGATAAAGCAAGCCAGTGAAGTTTGATCCAGAATGCTTATGACTGGTAATCTGTATGAGAATGTGTAATGTATTACTCAATTTATTAAGTCTCCCATTTATTTAATTGGGGGATTAATACATGCAAGTGTAGTTTGGGTAATTTCAGCTAAATCCAGTTCATTTAATTGTGCAGTATGATAAAGCAGCGTGGCCTCGCCAGTCTTTGCAGTGCTTGCTAATGCTACAATGTAGATGTGAAAGCAGCATTGTTACTGCCAGGGAGCATTGTGTCACAGTCAGTTTGATGCTTCTGTTTGGCAGATCAGATGTTTTTGCTAACAAGTATTCCCAGCTTCTCAAATAGTCTTATTTATGATGAAAATATGATTTTTTATAGTTGCAGTTATTGTATACAAATTATTATATACAATTTCTATAGTTAAAATCCTTCTGGTTTTGTTTCTGCTTTTCCTTTCCCTAAGGAACACGATACTGACACAAGTGAAGCTGGATTCCAGAATGGGAACTGAGACCTGGCTTTCCTCAGATTGAGATGGATCTAGTACAGACGTTCTTATCACCTTTCTTCAACCTCTGTGTTCGGTGCAGTGATTGGACTGTCTCGGTAGTTCACTGAATGTTTGGATCAGTTCTGTGTGGTAGTTTGGACAACTAATGCCTTTTGAGGAGGTGTTTGTATTTTACAAGCACTTTCCAAATAATTATTTGTTTTTCTACTTTTTTATTGAAACTATAATTTTGTAATATATATATATATATATATAAATCTTGTTCTAAGAACATAGTTTTGGTCCTTCTTTTATTTATTTTTTGTAGCAGTGCTTACTGTGGGTTCTTTTGGCGTACATGTAGCCATTAGTTGCACTGTGGGGAAAGTTTGTTGGTTTGACTTGTGAACTGGAGAAGAAAATACAGCTATAAATTCAGGAGAGGCTTAAAAGATGCTGCTCTGTCACCCCGTGGCAGTCATCTTATGGCTTTCTGCCTAAGTCAACCAAGGGGAGGTGGGTTTGTTACTGTAGGAGGAAAATATTTCTTGCCAGGGAGGGGAGGACTTGAAATTCAGCACTGAAGACATTGCTGCACATCGCTGCCTCATACAAGATTGGAAAAACATTATGAAAAGGAGGGACAGCGTTTGGATTAAAAAGACTTTAAGATTTGATGGCTCACTATTACAAAAGTGTGATACTGTGCAGAAAGCTCAGGAATATTTTTACTTAAAATTATTCCCAGAGACAGGGAGCCAGGTATTGCATAAGAATGGAAACTCAAGTGAAATTCATTGGCCATGCCATGCTGAAGCTCAGTGCACAGCAAAAATAGATCCAAGGGTACGAGGGGTGAGGAACAGACTTGTCAATATTATTAACACCAAATGTCTTTGTTGCTAAAGTTTTTTTTCTATCAACACTGCAAGATTGCCCTTGATTTCCCTCAAAAAAAAAAAAAAAGTATTTAATCTGACCCCAAACTGTGAAACTTTAATTTTTCCTCCACTCAGGCATTCCATGCAACTTGTGAGACTGTGCCTTATATGGCTCTGCCATGGTTTTTAATGTCGAAGCTGCTTTTTTTTTTTTCCCAGAAGATAGTACATCTTTTTTTTTTTTTTCCCTTAAAACCCACTCATTTTACACCCCTTAATGTTTTGGATGCCAATGTGGCACAGACTTTCCTAGAGCAGGTTCCCCTAAGGACCTACTCAGTCACTGATGAGATGAGATGTGCCAATATACTATTGACAGAAGCAGTTGTATCTCTGCACACTTTGCAGACGTTCCTTTGTCAAAGCAGCATGTTTTAAATTTTTCATTTCTTTCTCTTTCATTTATTTTTCTTTAGTGACATGCTTGTGCTTTTCACACACAGCAGCACTTCGTACATTCCAGCTACAGATTTACATAATAAGCTTTATCTTTCCCCTCCAGTATCAATACCAACCAGTCAACCGGCACAGACTGCAGTTGAACCAAACAACTGTGATCTTGCTAATTATAGGTCTGCTTTGTACTGTTCTTTGGTGTTTAGACTTCAAACTGTAAATACATTCTCTCTGTGTCCCCTTTCAGAGTTGTTTTGTCACCTGTTCTTGATGTCCCAACATGTTTTTTAGTAAAAAGTCATCGGAGCAGCCAGAGAAGACAAGCAGCTGTTTGTCTGTTGTTTGTCTGTTGTGCTGTTCTAACTGAAGTAGAAGAACAGAATTTTTCAGTGAATGAAGGTTTTTTTTGGGCCAAAACCACTAGCGTGAAGTATGTGCAGAGGCAGTAGCTAGCTGCCTTCTGTTTTTCAAAACCGTCTCTTTGTCCCTATGGAGGTGTTTAAAACTATTATTCTGAAAACAGAGGTGTTTGCTTTGCTCACGAAAACATGACACATGCACCTTGCTGGTTGACAGCACAATTTTGAAGGAGTTCAAACAGGTGAAGGCTTTCAAGAGGTGAAGCTGGGCCAAGAGCCAGTTAGGCACCCAGCTTACCCCGAGCTTAACACATCAATGAAATTATCACTGCACTTCAGAGAAGCTGGGTGCAAGTTACTTTCCCCTTTTTCCTCTACTCTCTCACGGAGTGTTTTATCACTTCGCCTTTCATTTATCCCTGAAAGAGGAGGGAAGGCTGCATATTGTTTTTTTGTTTTTTTTTTTTCAACCTCTAAATGCTCCGGGAAATCTGGTTTTAACGAGACATTCTCCGTGTCTCCTGGCAGCACCTACTGGAGAAGGGGAAAAAGACCAAGCAGAGGTGTAAGCTGGGGGCAAGCACACCTTTGAAAGGAAGGGGGACATGGAAGCGGCCGAGCTGGGTGAGCGCTGCTCGGGCTGTGCTTCTCCCCTCGTGCCAGAAGAGGGATCCCCAGCCCCGCTGCCTCCCTAGCCCCAGCTCCCCGCGGGCAGCGGCCGGCCCGGGCCGGGCTGCGGGGCAGGGCCCCGGCCGCTGCTTCCCCTCCTTCTCCGGTCCCCCCCCGGGGCCAGCAGCGAGGTAACGGCGGGGGGGGGGCGGCCCCGAGCCCGGACACTTCGTGGGCACCGCTCCCGGGGCTGGGGAGGGGGGAGGCGGCCGGGCTGCGGCCCGCAGGGGGAAGGAGGAGGCGCTGGAGCCGGGCCCGGGGCCCCCCGGATAAGCCCCGCGGGGTGGGGGTGAGGGTTGGAAGGGGGTTTGGGTGTGCACCCGGTGGGCACAGAGAGCCAGAGAGCAGGCGGAGGAGGAAAAACTTTAATCTTTATTGCGTTAATACAAAGGAAAACCGTACGGGAGGAACGGGGAGCTCTCGGGGTGCTGCCAGCTGGTAGCGTCCTGAGCCCTTTCCCCTAAAATCTGGCTCCAGCTGGGGGATGCTGAGCGTCACCTCGGTGCATCACCAGCAAGCTGTGGGGCTCTGGTGGTCCGGCACGAGCTGGCTGCACCCCATGGGATTCACCAGTGGGGCAGCTCACGGCAGCGTCTCGGGTCTGGAGCCCCGGCAGCAGCAGCAGCACAGGGCTGGGTGTGCAAACACAGAGCTGGGCTCCAGATCGCTCAGCTGGGCCTCGTGGGTGGCAGAGCCGTGGGGCAGGGCAGGGTGCCTCCTGAAGGCACCGGGCCAGGTCAGAGGAATGACGACGGAGGTCTCCAGGGATGGCGTGTCCGGCTTGGAGCACCCCAGTAACCTCAGCTCCTCGGTGCTCGTGTCAAGGAACAGGCTGGTGTCCAGGGGGGCTTTTATTTCTGAGATCTCCCAGCGGGGTCCTGGAGGCTTGCCGGGGGTTGAGGAGTCGCTCAGGTGCTCGGTGCTCTTGGAAAGCAGGCTCTCCAGCAGCTTGGGGTGCTTTTCTTTCTTGCACGGCGTGGAAGTGTTGTGTGACGCCACATCCATCAGGCAGCCGGCTTGGCTGGGCAGCCCGGAGAGGTCGGAGGCAGCGTGGCCGTAGGGAGTCTTGCAGAGGCAGACGAGGCTGATGTCTGAGCTGCCCTGGGTCAGGCTGTGTGGGTCAGGCTTCACGCAGCTTCCCAGCACCTCTGGCTGCTTCAGGACGCACAGGGAGCTGCTTTTTGTCACGCTCTCCAAGTCCACCAGAAGCTCCAAGGTGCTCGGTCTCGAGGCGCTGCCGGAGTCCGCATAGTAACTGCAGACAGGAGAAGGGTGGGTGCACCCGGGGGGTGCCGCCACGAACCCATTTTCCAGGATTTCCTTTAGGGTCAGGATGCTGGCGCTGCGCCTCTTGGTGGACAGCATGGTGCCGGGTATCGCTGTCAGAATAAAGTGTTTGTGGGGGAGCCATGGGGCTGCATCACTGCTCCCACTGCCAAACCCAGCCCCTGGTCCCACCGAGGAGCTGTGGTGGGTCAGGGCAGTGGGCACCCACCCCACAGTGTGACACCAGCACCCCACAACCCATTTATAGGGTCTGTAATGGTGTCAGCGATGGGGGAGCGGCTCACCCCAGCCCTATATCCTCCTCAGCGGGCTGGGGGAGCACCCCCAGAGCTGCTTTTTGGCAGCTTCAGCCTGCACAGTGCTGCTCTTAGCTTCATTTTTTTTTGGGTTTAGGGGCCTCGGGCAGCCTCCCCACGCCCTGGGGGCGAAGGATGCTTTGTGGGGTTTTTGTAGGGTGAGGGCAGGGCGCAGGGCACTGCGCGACCATGCCACCCGCTGAGGGGGTCAGAGGCAGCCAGAAGTCACCCTCCGCCCCAAACCCTTTAAAAACTGAGGCAGAAAGCGCCTAAACTCACTTAAAAAAGGCCAGCCTGGAGAATGAGCTCCCTCTCAGCCCCCCCGCCCCTTAAGAGAACGCGCCCGGGAAATACAAAGCGCCACTTGCCTTCAGCGCAGCCGCCCTCGATCCGCGCCTCCCGCCCTTGCTCCTCACGATGTTATACCCCTGCTAATCAATTAATTCATTAATTAACGCCCCCCTTCCCCCCCCCCCCAGCGGGTGCCGTTCGGTCTGTGCCCGCCCGGGGGCGCGGACACGCGTGGGGGGGGGGGGGCGTTGAAGCGGGCGGGCGCCCTCCCGCGCGCGCCTCTTTGTGAGGCGGCGGCGCGCAGGCGCGGCCCGGCCCCGCGCGGGGGGGGGCCGCCGTTGGCGCGAGATAGGAAAAAAAAAAAAAGGGGGAAAAGGGGAAAAAAAAGTAAAAGCCAGAAGCGCCGGGCCCGGCCCGACCCCGCCATGGCGCGCCGCAGCCGCGGGTGAGTGGTGTCCCCGCGCTGTGTCCCTGTCCTTGTGTCGTCCCCCCCCCGCCGTGTCCCCCTGGGGGCCGCCTTCCCGCCGGGCTCGGGGAGCGGCCTGAGGCCGGCACGGGCGGGCGGATGGACGGACAGACGGAGCTGCCGGCGGACAGACGGACCGGGCACCCCCCCGCCCGCCCGGGGTCCCTCGGCGGCGTGGCGTGGGTCTATGGGGGGAATGGGGGGGGAATGGGGGGTGTGGGGGGGGAGGTGGGTGAGGGGGAGTGGGGTTATTGGGGGGTGTGGGGGGTGAGGGGGGATGTGGGGGAAATGGGGGTAAATGTGGGGTAAATGGGGGAAATGGGAGGTGAATGGGGGATAAATGGGGGAAATATGAGGTGAACGGGGGTAAATGGGGGGAAACGTGGGGTAACTGGGGAGGGTAAAAGGAGCAAATGTGAGGTAAATGGGGTAAATATGAGGTGAATGGGGGGTAAATGGTGCGAATGTAAGGTAAATGGGGGGAAATGTGGGGTAAAAGGAGTGAAATGTGAGGTAAATGGGGGAAATGTGGGGTAAAAGGAGTGAAATGTGAGGTAAATGGGGGAAATGTGGGGTAAAAGGAGTGAAATGTGAGGTAAATGGGGGAAATGTGGGGTAAAAGGAGTGAAATGTGAGGTAAATGGGGGGTAAATGGGGGATCTGGACCCGGGTTTTGCCCCCCCCGCCATTGGCAGCATGGTGACAGCAGCTCCTTGCTGCTGCGCCCCCCCGCCCCCCCCCCCCCCCCCCAGTCTGAGGAGAGGAGCGGGGCCAGCCCCTGGGCAAGGCCCTCAGGCAGGGACAGGGGCTGGAGAAGCCCCCCAGCTCCTCAGCGAGTGGCAAAGCGCCTGCTGGGGTCTGCAGGGTCCCCTTTATGGCCTGGGGAAGGCCTGAGGTGACAGGGCTCAGCCTGGGGGGGTCTGGAGGGGAGTCTGGGGCTCCACATACCGTTGCTGCTCCCCCCCCACTGCAGTTCTCTCAGCAGCACCCTGTTTGTTTCGGCAGCGAGGAGCAAGATGAGCTGCACTGCCAGGACACCGACTCGGATGTGCCAGAGCAGCGGGACGGCAGGTGCAAAGTCAAGTGGACGCAAGAGGAGGTGAGTGAGAGCCTGGCGCTCGCCGAGGGCAGGTGTTTGGGGCGTGCAGCTGTGCTCCTCCATCCCAGTCCTCGCCTGCTGGCTGCAGCCCCAGCTCACGTTGTCTCGCTGCTGGAGAAGGCCATGTGCCTCAGGCCTTAGTGAGAAGAAGCTCAGGTGAGTTTGAAGTACAGCCTGGAGAGCAAGGGCTCTCACTGCTTCCACGCCTCAGCCTTGAGTGAGGCGTCAGCTGCCTGTAGCTCTCCAGTAGGGCCCTGGAGGATGGCCGAGGTCTTCAGTGAGATGACTCACACAGTGGACGTGCCCTTCCTTCCCTGCAGCTAAAGCAGGGAGTGCTGAGACTGTTAGGGTCATGGCTTAGTTGTTCTGGCTGGAAGCCTGAAACTGTTTGGGGTGTTTTCTACCCTCCTCCCCAGTTCCTCCATAAACCTCGTGTTTTGTGTGAAAACTACAAAATGTTCTATCTCCCTTGGAGGCTGAACATGTGTGAGAGTGGTCTTTGTGCAGAGGACAGGGAATTATTTCTTACCTTTGCCCAGCCAGAACACACAGGGAAGGAAGCCTGTAGCAGGCTTTGTGTGAGTGGTAAGAGTAGGCAAACCTGGGCAGTGACAGGGTGTACGAGAGAGAAGATGTAGAGACTCTCAGTGCAGGAAAGCAGCAGGCCGTCTGGCCGGTGGTGATGCACTTCCAACGGTTGGTTTCTTTGGCCAGGCAAAAGCAGTGTCTGAGTTGGGAGACGGGCTGCCTGGTCAGGGGTGTACTGGGGCTGGATAAGCCCTGGCCGTGTAGTTTGAGCCAAACTGCCCTGGGATGGAGATGAGGTGGGCCTGGAGGTGACCACAGCAACTGAGCTGATGTTTTGTGCTCAGCTCTTGTTGTCCACACCCTCGCTCAGAGCCCTGAGCCAAACAGCTGGGCTCCACGCACCAAGGTGCTGCGAAAGGGCAGTGAGAGCCACGTTCCTCCCCGTAAAGCAGACACACACACCTGGACAGTTAAAAACCCCTAGATTGTTCTCTTGATGCTGTCAGCCCAGGAGTGCCTGTGGCATGTTTTGCCTCAGTGTATGTGAAAGTGGATGTCTTTGTTCTTTGCAGGATGAGCAGCTGAAGATGTTAGTAAGACATTACGGGCAGAATGACTGGAAGTTCCTGGCCAGTCACTTTCCTGTAAGTGACCCCTTGCCCAGGTTGGGAATCGTAGTGTTTGCATGTTGTTTCTTGTGCTCAGGGTGCTGGTTCTCTGTGTGCAATGCCTCTTGCAGTGGGACTCTGTTCTGTGGCTGCTACTGTCAAAGAAATCGGTGCTCCTTCAGGGCAGGGAGACATTTCTTGCTTAGAGGACTTTCAAGGGCACGTCTGTTGGAGCTGGGATGAGAAACTGAGGTTCCTGTCCCTGCCTTCCATGCCCAGTAGTCATAGTATGCCTTCTCTGTGCATCTGCAGGTTTTCCAGGGGACAGGCTGTGTGTGTGGGGGATGCTGTTACAGGGCCTTTTGGAGCCTCCAGCCTGATGTATGGCTACTCTGATTCCTTTTCCCAGAACCGCAGTGACCAGCAGTGCCAGTACCGGTGGCTGAGAGTGTTGAACCCGGACTTGGTTAAGGGCCCTTGGACCAAAGAGGAGGACCAAAAGGTAAGTCCAGGGAGGGCAGGGGCTGAGCCGTGACCCTCTGTGGAGAGAGCAGAGGTGTTGGACCTGCAAGTCTTCCTTGAAAACAGCAGGTGGTTCTTCCCAGTGGTGGTACCCACCAGAGCAGAACTCTGAGCTGTCCTGAGCAGCCTAACACAACTGTGGCTGTGATGAGCAGAAGCAGCTCTAGGCCTCTTCAGCTAATCATAGAATGGCTCGGGTTGGAAGGGACCCAAAGATCACCTAACTCCAACCCCTGGCTGTGGACAGGGACACCACCCACTGCATCAGGTTGGCCAGGGCCCTTGTCCAGCCTGGCCTTGAACACCTCCAGGGATGGGGAACCCACAGCCTCTCTAGGGCAGCCCGTGCCAGGGCCTTACCACCTTCTGAGTGAAAGTCTCCTCCTAAACGCTCTCTGTTTCACACTGTACTGCTGCAGTAGGCTGGCAAGGGAGAGAGCAGAACAGGGAATTAATTCATCCAGCTGCTGGTAGATTTCTGCCTGACCTGGCCATGTTGGACCTGAGAGAAAATAAAACTGGCTTTTTGTGTGCTACAAACAGCCTAAAGCGGATCTCTAATACTGGCCAGGTAAACTGTGACTTCTGAGAGTGTTCCTCTCTGCCGATTCAGGAGTGAACTGTCAGTGGCTAGCTTAGACACACATCATCTCTATGTGCCTAAGAAAATTTGAAAATTAGTCATGTGCTTTCTGATGCAACATTTCCTAGTTTGTCGGTTTTTCTGTAACGCTCCTGCTCTCCCATGGCTTTCCATTTTGCTCCTGCTGCAGGCTGCTGTGGCCCCTTCTGCAGCCCGGGCTTCCTATCCACATATTACATCAAACGCTTCTTGAGGAAGCTTATCACGGTGCCCTCCCACCTTCTGACAGCTGCTGCCTGCTCTCCCCTTGCCCTGCCATGTCCCAGCTGCCACGCAACTTATTCTCGATGCCCCCTACCATCGTGGCAAGGCTGGGCTCCAGCCTTCTGCTCAACCTGAAACAGCCTAGAGCTTTTCTCTGCAGCCTCCCCAGCTCCTTGGGTTGTGCCGCATCTCGGTACCTTTGGCCTGTTTGTCTGCCCCGGACAGTCGGTCTGCAGCAGGGTTGTTAATTATGAACCCTTTGAGCTAGGCTCAGCTGGGCAGGGTGAAAATGCCTCTTTAGAGCCGTCTGGCCTCCTCTGTAGGATTTTGGCAGACTCAGTGTTACAGGCAGCAGGTTACATGGTAGTGATTTGCCCTGACTGGTGCATGGATGTATTTCAGGGCAACCAGAACAGGTTCCCCTCCCAGAAACATCTGCAGTGAACCTCAGGCAGAAGCGACAAAGCCCCAAGGTGAAGGGGAAGCAGCAAAGCGGATGGCTTTTAAGTGAATATTGCCCCTTTCTGCTTTGGAGCTTGCACCATGCGTCCTGATGTTAGTGGAGTGGGCTCTGGCATGTCCTGAGGGTGACACCCTGTGTTACAGGGGGCTGTGCCACGCTGTCCCTGCAGGCAGAGCAGTGCAGAGCTGGTGGGGACTGCCTCCACGCAGCCAAGGTCTCGGGAGAAGGGAGGGCAGAGGAGCCTTGGGGCGTGTGAGGGACTTGACGCTTGTTCTGCACCCCCTGCACCTGCCCATCTCCATCCCAGTTCTCTGTGAGCTGTTGCCTGTGTTTGTAGGTGTTGTGTGGCAAAGGGGCTGCATGAAAACAGCTCCCTTCAGAAACACGGCTGGGTTTTGCTCACAGAAGTGTTCACCTGGCTATCAGTGCTGGGTCCCTCCAGCTTTTTCCCTAAGGGGTCCTTCTATGTCTGCCCTTACCTGGTCCCCATACAGGTGGAAAGCAAAGCCTGAAGATGACTGTATTGACCCTCCCCTCCTTTGTTCCGTTCCCTTATTTCCCTCCCGCTCTTTTCAAAGGTAATTGAACTGGTTAAAAAATATGGCACCAAACAGTGGACTCTGATAGCCAAGCACCTGAAAGGGCGGTTAGGGAAGCAGTGCCGGGAGCGCTGGCACAACCACCTGAACCCTGAGGTGAAGAAGTCCTCATGGACAGAGGAGGAGGATCGCATCATCTTTGAGGCCCACAAGGTCCTGGGGAATCGCTGGGCTGAGATTGCCAAGCTGCTGCCTGGGAGGTAGGACCTCTTTGCTCACTGGTACCTTCGCAGCTGGGTGGTGGCCGGTGGAGATCCACGTGCTGGGCTCACCAGCTGGGGCTGGGGAGCTCCCAGGAGCTCTTAGCTGTGCTTTAAAGCTGTGCCTGATGGTGTTTTTTTTTCTGCCACTTGCTTTGCAGGACCGACAATGCTGTGAAGAATCACTGGAACTCCACCATCAAGCGCAAGGTGGACACGGGCGGCTTCCTCAACGACACGAAGGAGTCCAAGCCGCTGTACTTGCTCGTGGAGGTGGATGACAAGGAGAGCCAAAGTGGATCGAGAGCTGGGAGCCAGGTACCACAGCAGCACGTGGGCACTCGGGTCTGTCCTCAGCTCTGCTAACGGGCATCAGAGCTGTTGGGCCACCCTCCTGCTGCCTCTAAAGCTGCCTTCAGCACAGCCTGGTGTCTGTGTGGAGTCTGTGCCTTCCCCCAGCCTTCTCCGAGACACTGACTCTTGACAGATCTCCCCCTCTGGGAGCTAGAGGCATAACGTGTGCCCGAGCGTGTTATCCAAGTGGAGGACAGCAGTCTGCTAGTGCTGTCGTTATCTTGCCACCCCCAGTGTCAAGGCTGTTGGAGAGTCTGAAGATATTTTTTGGCTCCATTGTGCTGTTGCTGGTGGGAGAGGCTGCTCCAGATGGTGCGGTGAGGGGGGCATGGAGAAGAGGTGTTGTGTTCCCTCCCTGCTTTAGAGGCGGAAAGTGATTACACATAATTATTTCTGTGAAGAAAGCATGCAGTTTTTAAAGGTGGACTCTCGGGAAGCAGGAAATGCAGAATTACTGCTACCTGCTCAGCCTGCATTTGACTTCCCCCTGAGATACTGTTAAGAGAAATATTCAATTAAGCAGTTCTGTGCTGATTAAGTTGGATAGAGTCCTCTTTCAGATGCTGTATGGGACAGAGTGAGGGAGAACAGGGATGTGAGACGAGTCGAAAGGCTGGTATGAAGGCAGGAGATGAATGGGTCCCGGGATCCTGTGCTCCTGTCCCCAGGCCTTGACTTCGCTCTCTTCCTTCTAACGGCCGGGCTTTCTTTCTTCTTGGTGAGCAGAGTGTCCTGCCGAACTGGCCAGTCGATGTCTCAGAAATAAAGGAAGAGGACGTCAGTGACGAGGAGGTGACGGGCTTGCAGGAGCTGCCCTCGGAGCTGCCAGCTGCTGACCTGGCAGAGCACAACGGCGAGGGGACCCCAGATGACGTGGTGCCTGAGGAGGACCCCGCGTGTGTCCCGTCACCGTACAAGTGGGTTGTCGAAGCCACCAACTACTTGTGCCCGACCTCTGTGCCTGCCTTCAGTGAGGCTCTGGACATGATTGAATCCGTAAGTAACAGACCCTTGCTACTCTGGCTAATGGATGGTGGCCGTGGTAGGGCCTGATTTTCACACCGTTCTGTTGATGAATTTACTTTGTCCCCCTTGCTCATCGCCATGGGCGTCCTGAGCAGGGCTGGGGGGATTCCTTCAGGCTGGCTTTGAAGGCAGCAAAATGCTCTGGTGATGTATAAATGGGCAATGTCTTTGCAGCCGGGTTTATGAGATGATTATCAGGGAAACATTCACTTTGCAGGTGTAAAGGAGATGGAAGACTGTGCCCAGGGCTTAATGGCCCATTTGTGGGTCCTTAGAGGCCTGCCTCTGTGGTAGTTTGGGTATCGATGGGGCTGAGCTGTGATGGGTCTGGCTATTTTTAATCTGGTTCCAGCAGTGTGCTTTACATCAGGGCTCTGTCTCCACGGTACTGCAGTGACCAAGCCTGTAGTTCGGTGACAGTTGTGTCACGCAGCCCCTGTCCCTCGCCGCTTCTGGTTGTCCCCTGTGTGCAGAGGCAGCTGTAAGTGCAGCTGTGCTGTGAGACGAGCTGAGAAACCAACCTAGCGCAAATAAAAAAAACTGCCCCTTGCAAACCACAACTTTCAGCTGGATCCGTTCCCTGCCCTGCTTCTCAGCTGTGCTGACGGCAGAGGGGAGGAAGGCTTGAGCTCCTCTCTAGCCAGGCTCCTTGCAAAAGCTGCTGGAGTCTCACACACCTGCTTGTTTCCCCTCTTGGTTGATCTCTGCAGCTGCACCACTCAGCTGCTCAGCCCTCCTTCCCCGGGCGGTTGCTGAGGGCTTCCTTTGTGCGCAGGACCCAGACGGGTGGTGTGACCTGACCCAGTTTGACCTGCCCGAGGAGCCCTCCGCTGGCAGCAGCAGCAGCAGCAGCAGCCCCGTGAGGCAGACGCCCAGCAAGCCAACGCCGTCCCTGCCCAACGTCACCGAGTACCGCCTGGACGGCCACACCATCTCCGACCTCAGCAAGAGCAGCAAGGGGGAGCTCATCCCCATCTCCCCGCATGCGGAGGTGAGCTTTGGCACGCCGCCCTCCGTGCTGAAGAGGCAGAAGAAGAGGAAGATCTCCCTCTCCCCCGTCACGGAGAACGCCCCCAGCACCAGCCTCTCCTTCCTTGACTCCTGCAACAGCATGACGCCCAAGAGCACCCCTGTCAAGACGCTGCCCTTCTCCCCCTCTCAGGTAAGGAGCAGCGGCACAGGCCAGCCCATGCTCCTCTGCATGGGCTTGTTTGTGACCCAGTGAGCATGGCAACGCTTCACCTGCTTGCCTCTGTGCTGTGTGTTCCCAGCAGCTCTGCCAGCTTTGTGTTTCTCCTCCCTGGGCCGAGGCAGTGCCAGTGCACGGGGTGTGTGTGCACCTTCCTGGTAGAGCAGGGTGCGGAGCTGCCTTCTGGCACTGCTTGGCTGCAGCGCTGCCCTTTCCCCGGGAGCAGCAGCCTGTGTTGGCCTCAGCAGGAGCACTTGCAGCACAGTGCAAGCCCTGAGCGATGGACAGGGCCGCTACGAGGAAGGAGCAGCACTGTGCAGATCCACTCCTGCGTGCTGCTTCTGTCTCTGGGTTGCTCCGTGCAGGGCATAACTGCCCTGGCAGTGGGGTAGCAGTGTGGCAGCAGTGCAGGTGGCTGTCCCGGGGTATTTCCAGCTAAATCATCCACCCGGGCTGGGCAGCACATGCTGGTGCACGTCTTTGAGTTGCTGTGCTTGGGAAAATGCTTCTGGGCCTTATCTTTGTTGCAAAACAAACTCAGCAGTGTTCCATTTTACCATCGTTCTTACAATGTCTGCACATGTGCGTGCATGGTTTCCCCCAAAACAGCCTTGCTGAAGCACTGTGACATTCAAACATCCTGACTTCTGCGTTGATGTGGTGGAGTTCTGCCTGTAAAACAGGATAAGTCACCCAGCACAGCTCCCGCAGCTGCTGTCATTCAGAACCCATCTCCCAGGGCCACTCGCTGGCTAAGCCTGCCAAGCTGTTGTATTGCTGCTGTTTCTGCAGCCCTTGGTGGCACAAGGGAGAGCACCACAGGACACTGACAACCAAGTTCAGGTGGACCTTGAATGCTGGGGCCAGCAGGAACAGGGAAAGCAGAGTAGGGCCTGAGCTCAGAGCAGGATTTTGGTGTGCAGGCAGTACCTTTCCTTCTCCTGCTTTTCTTGGCATTAGCTGGACCAGTGCAAGCAGAGACCCCCTCCACCTTGTAGCTGCCCAAAGTTGTACCTGCTTTTCCTCTTGGGAACTGAATAAACTTGATAGGTGTGAGGCACCTTCTGGCACCTTCGTGCACGTGCCCACATACAGGACGGTACCACAGCAAGTCCCAGCTCATACAGGAGTTGTCCTGGTTCCTTCTGGAACAGATGTGCTGGTGCCACTCGGTATGGGAGGGTTGTCCCTATATCAGGCTTCCCACTTTATTTAAGTAGAGATAATGACCAGTGATTTTGTGTTAGGCAGTCTGAGACTGACTGTGCGACTCTTTCTTTCTTGTGCTGTGCAGTTCCTAAATTTTTGGACCAAACAGGATACGCTAGAACTGGAGAACCCATCTCTGACCTCCACGCCTGTGTGCAGTCAGAAGGTGATTGTCACCACCCCGCTGCACAGGGACAAGACCCCTCTGCTCCAGAAAAACTCAGCGTAAGTCCTTTCTTTCTCCTCAGCCATTCCCTGATACCTGAACATTGTCCTTTCTCACACGAGTTTGATTCAAATCAAGCGTACCTCCCACGGCACTTGTACTGTCACTACCGAGAGAGTGGCAGGGCAGTCTGGGCATTTCCTTGAATCAGTGTAGCACCCAAAGCCAGTTGTTGCCCTGCAGCTGCAGGCCACAAGTGTCCCATCTGGTTGGGGCCACAGCCAAGTGACCACCGCAGTGCTCAGCTGCCGGGTGGGCTGCTGCCTTCTGTGCACATCTTTGTCTGAGAAACACTGCTGCGAGCCCTGTGCCAGCAGGGGAGGGATTTGGGCTTCCTCAGCAAGGGCTGTTCAGATCCCTCCCTGGAGCTCTGCAGCCTCAGCTTCACCTGACCTCTGGGAGCCCAGGGCCACGATCTGAAGGCACCGTACCAGCCAGGAGAGGGAGGGTGGCCTGCACAGCGAAGTGATTTTTGTCTCTGCACGTCACTACGCTGGTGCAGCACTGTGTGTGGAGGTGCTGGCTGTGGTTCCAAAGCTGGCATGACCCAGAGCAGCTCCCACATCCCGATGGTACAACCTGGCTGCTCAAAGTGTGTGCCCCAGGGGCTTCCACTGGTCCAACTCTGATGAGCACAAAACCGTGGCTGGTCCTGGGGAGCTCTGCCAGCAGGGCTCTGGGATGCCCATGTCACAGGTGTCGTCCTGCTTTCTGAGGAGGGTGCTGGAGCAGCATAGTTGGTACTTCTGGGGGACATTTTCCCTACTCAAGGCTCCTTGGTGCCTGTTAGCCCTGCTTATGCCCCAGGAATCACAAATTGTCTAGATTGGAAGAGACCTCAAGATCACTGAGTCCAACCTCTAATGCTCCAGCCAGGCAGACGGTTTCTGCTGTCACTGTGTGAGACTGCAGGTGGCTCGTGTAATAAGAGGGTTTGGAAGAATGGGCTTTACTTAGTGGTTTATGCCACGTTAATCCTTTTTTTTTTCCCTACTTTCCACTGCCAGGTTTGTCACGCCAGATCAGAAGTATGTGGCGGACAACACGCCGCACACCCCCACGCCTTTCAAAAACGCCCTGGAGAAATACGGACCAATAAGGCCCCTGGTACGTAACAGACAGGTCTGCGGCTCGCTGCTGGCAGTGCCTTGCTCCCAGGACACGTGGTGAACGCAAAAGGGCTGTGGGATAGTTTGCAGCCGAGCTGTGAGCCAGCTGTCATCTGTGCAGTAACAGGGTGCGGCCTGGTAGTGCCAGGCGGAGGTGAGAGGGATGAAGAAGCCCTGGTCAGAGTGAATATGGCGTGGTCGGTAGCGGCAGGACTTCTGGCTGCTCTGCAGAGCTGCCAAAATAGCCCAAACTGCCCTTGAGTCAGTGGCTGGCTGCTGATGACCTTGAGGCAGAGCAAGGGAACGATCTGCCTTTGTGTCTGGGTCACTGAAGGGAACTTAACGCAGGTGCTGAGGGCTGGCAGCTTCAGTATGCCACGACTTCAGGGCTTGCTGCTCTCTTGATGGTATGTTTGGGATTTAGCTGGTCAGACATTCTCCTGTGTATGGAGATCTTGTGAATCTGTTAGGTTAACAGAAATCTCGTCATGTCTTTTCCTGCTGGGAAGTAAATACTTTGCAATGTTTGTCTTCCCACTGGGAGCTCCTGTGGGCTGCTCTGGCCCTGTTGTCTGTGGAGGGAATAGCAGAAAGTGTGCTCAGTGTACGGATGTTGATTGTCCTATGCTCTCTCTTCCTGCCTCCTCACACCAGCCCCAGACTCCTCACCTGGAAGAAGACTTGAAAGAAGTTCTCCGAAGTGAGGCTGGCATCGAACTGATCATAGAGGACGATGTGAAGCCCGAGAAACAAAAGAGAAAACAAGGGGTGAGCTGGTTTAACATCCAGTATCTGCTTGTGGGCTGTCCTGTGTTGTTGAGGGGTGTCTTTGCTGGTTGAGTTCATCCTCCTGTTGATGCCAAAAAGCTTTTCAGTGTGTGGCTGCTACCTTTTGGTCAGCGAGAGTGCTCGTGTGCCTGAGGTTAAGACCTGCTTGAAATACTGTGAGGTGTGGCCTGAACTCACATCTGTGCTAGGAGGTGCTGTCTCCTAATGTACAGGAGAAACTCGTGAAGCATTTGTGGAAAGCTGGGCTCCCCAGAGGCTGAGGACTGGTACACAAAGGCTCAGTTGCCAAATGTGTTGTGGCCTTCCCTTCCTGCTGGAAGGGGCTTTCCCTTCTAAATCAGTGGCTCTTGGTGCCAGCGAGGAGAGCACTAGAAGCTGCTGTGCCCTGTGGTGGGGAAGGATGCAGTACATCTACCTGAGGTGCTGGTAAAACACAGATGTGGGGTGATGTGGGCTTGCTGTGCACCCTCGCCCTTAGGAGAGGAGGTCGCCGAGCTGATTCGTGCTGACACGTGTGTTTGTGTCCCCCAGCTGCGCAGGAGTCCCATCAAGAAGGTCCGGAAGTCGCTGGCGCTGGACATTGTGGATGAAGATATGACACAGAACGTGCCTGCCCTACCCAAGAACATCTGCTTCAAAAGAACCCAGGTGAGGGGTGCTGTGAGCAGAGCAGGGAGAGGTCTGGCTGAAATGGGGCTGAGAGGTGAACTTGGCTGCTGAGCTGTTCTAGCAGGGGATCTCTGGACACGGATCTGGGCTGGTTGGGTCTGCAGTCCTTGTCCAGGATCCTCCACAAGCTTTCTGGAGAGCTGTGGGGGGAGAGTGCCTGCCCGAGAGGTTAGGGTGGGTTTTTAAGAAGAAGGCAGCAAGATGGGCTTGGTACCAGCACTACACTATTTCTCCTCCTTGCTTGGCTGCTGCAGAAGCTGCTGCTCTGCTTCTTGCTGTTGTCAAGCTCTGCGTGTAGGTGAGGAGGCAAGGGGCTGTTACAATTCGTGTTCTCCAATACCAAAGCACAAGCGTTTCACTGACATGCCACATGCCCAGAACTCTAAATGCATTGTGGCCCCCTCCATTCTTATCCCACCACATGTTTGTTTGACCTCAAGGGTCTGGTTTAGTGAGCTGATCCTGCAGGCCAGTATCAGAAGGGGAAGATAATCACTTACTCTTGGCCACTTTGTCTCCCTAAATTGAGTAGCCAAGGGAGTGGATGAACCCTTGATGCAGCGCTGTTGCGAGGAAGGAGGAAGCAGATTGCTGCTCTTCCACCAGCAGCTGTTCTGTAGCATCAAGCTGTTACTGAGAGCATTCCCAGGCATCTGTGCTGCCCCGTGCCTCAGTGCTGCTGAAGCAGAGGGCTTGTTCTGCTCTCCCAGCACTTCTCTGGGCTTGGCTGTAGGCTTCTTCCCATCACCACTGATGCTTTTGTTTGCTGACTTTAGCACCGTTTAGACTTCTAGCCCTTGAAAGCAACAGAAAGACTTTTTCTTCTGACAGTAGCAACTTAACATAGGGTCTACAGGATCCAGAGCGCAGGCATGGTGTGGGACTGTAGGTGAAATGAATCACAGCCTGAAGGGGAGAGACACTAGGTGAATAGAAATCCTGGTGACAAAGCTGCCTGCAGGAGTAGGTGCAAATTCCCTCCTTGTTTGACCTCCCAGCTGCTTTTCTGCCTGGGAAATAGGGAGAAGCCTTACGTGCTCTCGTCTTCGGAGCCCTCAGGCAGCCCTTGCCGAGGCTGGCAGTAGGGTGAGAGGCACCTTCCTGCCTGGAGATGAAGGCTGTGTTTGAGCACAGCTGCTCGTTTCTTGCATCAAGATCAATTTCAGGCTCGGCCACCTGCCTTTGAACCTGTGGATGAAGTGGTGGATTTGTTAGCTGGCCTTTTGGCCAGGCCAAATAGCAGCATTGTTAGGGCAAACGGACTTCTTTCCTCATACAGTTTTCTCTCCCGTTGCAGCCTGTGAATTTCCTGTCGAGGTCCCTGAACTTTTCCTCCTCGAGCAGGAAGAACGACTGCGGCTTGCTCAACAGAGCCTTTGTGCAAGTGCAGTCAGAGAAAATGTCCTACAGGAAGATGCCAAGCCATTTCAGACCGCCGGCACCGGTAAGCCCTGCAGCCACTCCTGCCCGTGAGCTGGAGGTGCAGCCCTTGTCCCTCCTTGAGACCAAGCTCAGGAGGAACGCCGTGCGCTCTTGTGTGAGCATCTGTATGCTGTCAGGTCTCTTGGCACCCAGCTTTTGGGATACTGAAGCAGTAGCATCACACCACAGCTCCCTCCCCTCTCTCTGCAAGCCCGCCCTTCTGCTGGAGCTCAAAGCCCCATGGCTCATCAGAATGGTGGCCTACGCAGCCCTGGATTTCCTCCTGGGAACCTGCATCCCGTCCCAGTCCATCAAGGAGTTTAGATGAGGAACCCAGAAGCGAAGTAAACCTTCCTCTTCCCAGTGAGCACTCCTCGGGTGGACAGCAGCAGGTTGATCTTTTTTTCTCTGACCACAGCAGCTCTGTGAGGTGCTATAGAAGTGCTAAACACAAAGGTACTTTCCGCCCCTGTGATTTTAGGGTATTTCTAGGTTGTGGTGAAGGCTGGGTGACACAGCATAGGCTGCATTTATCCTGCTGTTTACCTGAGCAGAGGCATTGCAGAGCTCCAGTGGGTGCTGTTTTCTTGCCCCTCCAACATACCCTGTGCTGAGGGGCTGGTGCCCTTATGGGTATTTGACTCTGGGGCATAAAGGGTTTCTTGTGTTCTCTGTCAAACCCCAGGGTACCAGCTGATGTACTTGCAGGCAGAGAGCAGAGGTGCATCCCCACTGTGTTTGGGTAGGGCGCCTTACATGGGAAGGGCATGATTTTTGCAGGGGTGTGCCTGGGCCAGGTCATGAGAGCTCTCAGGTAGCTTGGGTGAGGATAGAAGTAGGTGTTTGCCCTGGTGAGGGGTGAAACTGCAGCTGGGGGCTGGTGTGGGGAGAGGTTCAGATCCCAGGAAGGGCTCAGGTGCAGCGTTGTCTTTTCAGAGCAGCCTTGGCTCTGCCTTCAGCTAAACACAGCATCCATCCCTGGATTAGAGCTGTCTGTTGTGAAAGCTTCCTTCTGACAAATACGTACTCCTCAGCCAGAGTAATTCCTTCCCCTTCTCAAAGTAAACCCTACTTAAACACTTCCATTTCTCCTGCTGTCCTAGGCAGGGTCGTACTGCTCCGAGTGCTAATAGACCCATATAAATAAAGCTCTGCAAGTGACTTGAGGGTGACAGCAAGGCAGCTTGTGCGGTGACAGAGTACAGGTGTGCACTGAAATGCCGCTGCCCAATGACAGCAGAGCTGCCTGTGGTGTTCCCGGGCTCTTGGGATTTATTGTACCACCCTAGTGCTACCCACAGTGGCAGTTACTTATTATTCCCACTTAGCTGTGGGCTGACCCTAAATCAGCCCCAAAGCCGTGCTGTGGCTGTGTGGGGCGTTGCTGTTAGCAGACGCTGCACGTCCAGCTCTGGCTCTTTGCAGTGCCTGTGAGGGGCTGTTTCCAGTTCAGGGCACTGCACATCTCTCAGCTGCATTTATCAGGGTGTTTGCAGAGGCTGGGGAAGCCGAAGCACCTTGTGGGAGCCCTTCTCACACACAGGGCCTGAGGCCCACATGATTTTCAGCTCTCCCTGCGTGCTGGGAGGCCAGGCAGTGCTGCAGCTCCAGGCACCACCCACTGCTGAGGGTGGACGGTCTCTGCCCAACCCAACCCTTTGAGGTCTGGGGCTGAGCAGCTCCTGTGGGAACTGAGCTGGTTGGGAATAAACCCCAAAGCTGGTCTTGGATTCCTTTCATCCCTCTGGACTCCACAACAAAGCTTAGTGGGGTTGTGCTTTGGGGTTTTGGTCTCAACTCAAGCAAGGGAAAGCCCTTGAGGGACCCATGGGTGGTTCTGCAACGGAGCGCTTACCTGGGAAACTGCCAAATGTGCTCCCTATGCTAGAGGTTTCCATTTTCCATTGGGTAGCAAGTAGGTAGTTTTATTTTCACACACTGCTTTAAAACAGGTGCTTGTCCCACTAGGACACACCGAGCAGGGTGCCCAGCCCCCTCCTCTCCCATGACTGTGTCCTACAGCTGCTTTCTCTTCCCTCCGTAGATGACCAGAGCTTGGAAAGCGGTGGCCTGCGGTGGAACTCGAGACCAACTCTTCATGCAGGAGAAAGCACGCCAGTTTTTGGGCATGTTGAAACAAAGCCACACATCAAGGACCTTAATCTTATCATGAAGGATTGTTCTGCTCTTTTTATTTTATTTTTTAAATTCCTTTTATGAGTGGAGGGGAGGGAACCACAGAGGGGCGAGGAAAATGAAATCCTCTGCAAGGCCTTAGCCTTTAGGGGTGATTTTTTTCCCTCTGTTCCCAGGTAGATCTGCATTGTATTAAATTGGGCTAAGTGCTGGCTAAAGCGTGGGGTGCGAGTTCTGGAATCATTACGGAAAGGCAAACGAGGGAGGGGTGGAGAGCTGACAGCAGGAGCGCCCTGTGGGACCTGGGCTCTGCAGGCAGAAAGCTGCGCCCCACATGCACTGGGTGCTGGACACGGACCTTGTTGGCCTGGATTCCACCCTGCCTGCTCTGGTGCCTCGGAATGGCTTCTGTTAAGGTTCCTGCACGCCTCACATCCCACTTCTGTCTTTCTCCAGGGGATGGAGAGGTTCTCCTGTGTGCCAGGACAGGGGAGGCGTTGTGCTCTCATGGGGAATGTGCTTTGGGGTGACCCGCAGTTGGAGCTGGCCGCCTGCTCCCCACGGGGCTGCTTTGTGCTGCAGGGTGGGAGCAGCGGGTGCCTCTTCCCAGGGCTGTGCTGCCTCTTGAAATAAACGATGGTGCTAACAACACCCTGCTGACCCTGTCCTTCAGCCTCGCTTCGACTCTGCCTGCGGCCTCACCATGCGTGGAGGGATGGCAGCGCTGTGCTGGGGTGCTGCCGGGCAGCACGCTGCCTGACTGCAACATTTTGGGGGCTCCTGAGAAGGGGAGGGAGTGGAGAGGGGCAGCTCGGGGTGACTGCAGCCCTCGGGCAGCTGCTGGGTGCTGCTGGCCCAGAGGAGCCTCTGCAAACCTCGGTTCCTGGGCGGTGCCACCTGGCTCTGTGCCCCCTGCGGGGGGGAGGCTGGCCCAGCTGGCCAAAACGCTCAAAAATCAGTAAGTGGTGGGGCTTAACGCTGGAGACTGAGTCTGTAGGAGACCTGAGGAACAGTGCTGCTGCTTACATGCGGTGTGTGAGATTGGCTGAGCTCAAGTGATGAGCAGAAAGGCTCGGGGCTTGTTATGGAGGCAGGAGAGCCAAGATAGCGCAGCAGGAAATGCATTTTTGTGTGGGATCTGTTTCCTGTGGGACTTCTTCCCATGTAGGGGAGAAAGGATGGCTGCTTCTCACCCCCAACGGTTTCATCAGGAATATGTTTTGCTACTTGATAGGAGGGTGAAAGAGGGGATGGAGGCTGCAGGGAGCGTGGGCTGGAGAACAGCACGCGAAGCTCCTGGTGGAGCAGAGCCTCTTCCGTTCTCTTCCCTTCAGGGACTGGAGCCGTGTGGGTGCTGCCCTTGCGGTGAATTTTCTTTTGTTGTAGCCAAGGCTGAAATGCAGCAATGAGAGCAGCACACGGCTGCACTGGGAAGCTGCTGGAGGCACTGAGGAGCGGCTCCCTGGTCAGACTGGCACACAAACAGCTCTGTGAGTGCCCATGGATCTCTGCTGTGAGGTGCTGTCCCCTGGGAGCCAGCAGCGGGCTTGTGGCAGACGTGCCTTGGGTGGGTGTCAGCACAGCAAGGGTGTCCACACGCCCCTTCCCCTCTTTAGGGGCACTCTCTGTAGTCCCTTTGCAGGCTGGAAAAACAGGGGAGTGCTGAGGACGTCTTGTTTCAGGCTGTCATTGACGTTGGCAATACAGAACCAAAAAATCCTTGCTGACAAACTTGTTAATAAAACCTTGGATCCTGGGAAACAAGGGAGTTTTCGGAGCCCGGCTCATTTTTCATTTCTACAAGCTCTGGGCCAAAGCAAATCCATGAAGTCATTTTTATTTCTGGTTCTCGGTGCTGCAATGTTTGCTTTGGAAATACGGCTGGGACCACTTGTCTGAAAGCCTGGCTGTAGCTGGTTGGATTTTCTTGTTATTTTAAGAGAAATCATCATAAAACCATCCATCCCTGTTTGGCCTGGGGGGCGAGGGGAGAAGCAGCCTTTGGGCACCTCCCGGATATTTTTGTCCTAATTGTCTTGGACGCATCCCAAGCTGATCCTTATTTTCTTCCGAGCCCTTGGCGTTGTGAATTTTGATTGAGATCATCCACACAACTGCTCTCCGTGGGGACTGCCGCGTGGCCAGAGCTCCGGCACCTCCCAATGGCTTTTGGCTTTCCTCTGCGGGAACAGAGGACGCTGCTCTCTGGGCTTAGAGGTCTTGCTCATTCCTGTCCTGGGTGCCTTTTAAAATAATAATAATAAAAAAAATTGCATTTGCTTTCCTGTGCTGACGTGAGCTGGGAGTGGGCGCTGCCAGCCGCCACCGCAGGATAAATCAGCGCACGAACCTGGCGCATTCATTTCAGAGCTGCCCCTAAATTAAAGGATTATGAGGCTGAGAAGTATTAACTGCTGCCCTGACGCTGTAAATCCAAATGGAGCTGGGTGTCCTGCTTTGCAGATGGCTTATTAAGAAAGATCGAGGGGCGGAAAAATAGAGAGGAAAGTGAGTAAAGCTAGCATGCTTAATGAGTAAAGAGACAATTAGCTTTTAATTGGAAAATGGAGCTCCTTGTGTGGATGTTCCCAGCCTGCCTTGGCCATCCTTGGACCTGGGGCTGCTGCTGTGCAGCTGGGGAAAAAAGCCAGGCTTGCTTTAATTCAGATGCTCCAGTTTATTTCCAGTAAAAACCAGTTCAGCTCCCCCCTGGCTGCCTGGGCCTACCGGGGCAGCTCCGGGCTGGAGCTGGGCAGCCTGGGCAGGGTGGCTCGGAGGTGGGAATTCCTCCGTCCCCTGTCCCCAGGGCTGCTGTCCCTTCAAAGTCTCTGCAGCAGTGCGGCCACCTAGGGCCACACAAGCCCCACTCACAGAGACCTGGAGATTTAATTTAGCTTTAAATGAAAACCAGGAGGGCAGCATCCCAGGAGGGGATTCCTTCCCCTCTGCAGCCCTGCTGCCTGGGGAGGTGCGAGGACCACAGGGTGCTGTGGGTTGTTTTTTTTTTTTTCAGCTTTGTATTTGCTTTGGGTTTTGCCTTCCTGACTTGAGGCTGATGCCACCCTTGTTCGAGTCCAGGCATGGAAAAGGGATTGATTGTAGCGGGGTGAGAGGGGAATACCAGAGCTGGTGCTGCTGGGGTGATGGCAGTGCTCAGACCGCTGCCGGGACATCGTGTCCAGCCAGGACAAGCCCTGAGAAAGCCGAGCAGAGCAAAAATATCAGGGTAAGGAGAAAAAAGAGGGCAGTAAGACTTCTGATTGCTCTTGGGGATGGACCTGGGTGGTGCCTGGGTGGGCAGCATGGCCATGGATGCTTGTGTCCACCAAAGGGCTCTCGGGTCCAGGCCTCGTTCCTGCTGGCTGGGGGTGTCACGGTTTGTCCTGCGCTACAGCTGATGATGCTACAGCGAGCAGCTCCTTGGGTAAGGGGGGCCCTTGGTGCAACCTGCTGCCTGCAGAGAGCTCATCCCTGTGTGCAGACAAGGCGGGATGCCAAGGGACTTTTTTCCTCTTTCAAGTATTACCTGTAACCAAAGGAATTATTTTATGCAAGCACACAGCAGGTGCGGTGCTGCCACAGATCCTGAACTCAGTGCTGATCTCTGCACCCATGGAGCCTGGGCGGGGCTGAATTACCCTGGCGCTGGAGGGGGAAAAAGATAAAATTTCCTACTGGTGGCTACATCTGACTTGCACACCTCCAGTGGCTGCAGGAAGGGCGGCTGGGTTAGACCCCAAATGGGATGGGAAAAAGCCTGGGGGCAGCAGGGGGGAGCCGGGCAGGTGCCAGGACTCAGCATCGCGCTGCTTTGGATTAGCTGAGTAGCTCCTGGATTTGGAGAGAGCTGGAGACCACTGGAGTTAAGGCTGGTTGTAACCAGACAGGGAATGAATTGTGCTTTGCAAAGTGCAATTTTTTCCCCCCGTTTCTGGACCAAGGAAACCGCGATTTCTCATCTCTGCTCATTGAGAGTAATGAAAATCTTTAAAAATGGTGCAATGTCAGGGAAAACATTTTTCTCTGGAAACTGAAGGGATCACACTGAAGAAATGTTTTCATTTGGAAAACACTGGAAAAGAGAAACTTGGGGGTATCGGAAGCCCCTGCCATGACAAGCCTCGGCACAAGTGCGTGCGGCTGCGGAGGTGAGCGCTGCCGGAGAGCCTGGCTGCCATCCGCTGGGCACTGCCAGGCACGCAGCAGATGGAGTTTGTGTTTTTAAATCCATATTTTTCTTCATAACGAGGCTGCTTTAGTGATTATGGGAGGGTTATTTGTAAATGAGTTACTTGTGCATTGGGCACAGAGGTGGGCAGCACCTTGCTGCCCCAGCGCCTTGTGGCACCGCCACCTGTAATGGTGAGTGGAGCCAGCTCTGTGTCTGCTGCTTTCTGGATCTCAGGGGAGAACTTGGTCTCATAAAGCTGTGTTTTTACCATCCTGCATTTGCAAAGCTGTCACGACGAGGGCCTAGGGGCACGGGCAGCAGCGGCTGGAGCTGGGGAGACCCCGGCCGTGGGGTCAGGGTCTGCAGCGCTGGAGAAATGAGGGCTGCTGGCTGTGGGTGTGTGGCAGGTAACGGGCACCAAAATGGGTGTCAGATCTGCCCGAAACACTAGATAAAGGAGGTGGGAGGGAGGAGGGAGAAAGTAATAATTTTAGATTCAATTCGGCTGATGCACTCGTCTATTCCCAGCGTTAGTGTAAATCAGGGTTTGAATTAAGCCCAAACAGCCACAGTTGCTGTCTGAATCTGCCATTTCTCAGGCCCTGCAGAAGCAGACAAACACAAAATCGATATTTCTTCTAACTGTTGCTAAGTTTTCCTTACAGATTAATTTCTGCGTAATAATCCCTGCAGCCGCTGCCCTCCAGAGCCCTCCCGCCTGGGGCCGGATCCTGCCCCACAGCTCCCTCCTGATTCCCAGCCCAGGACCCCTCTCTGCTCCCAGGGCTGCAAGAAAACACCCTGCTTTAAGCCGAGGGGAGCACAGCACCCTTCCTGGTAATGAGGAATGCCTTTTTCTCCTCCTTTCTTGATGCCAAGCTTCTTTTCAGGGAAGCCTGGGAGGAGCTGGGGCCAGGCTGTAAGCCACACGTGCCGCTAGCTCCGTGGGTGTGAGATGGCTCCTGCCCTTGCTGGGGAACAAAGGGGAGAGTGACCTGAATTTCGGAGTCACTTTGGGCAATGAGGGCAGGTGTTTGCCTTCCCTTCTGACCAAATGCATCTGATGACTTGGATGGAGAGGTGGATTGACCCAAGGAGCTGCGAGGCCTGAGGAGGTGAAGAAGAGCAGGCCGAGGATGCTGGTGGATGAGCACTCAGCAGCCTGGTGGGACGGCCTTTCCTGCTGGAGGAGCACGTGGATCAATAGAAGAAATACTCCAAAATCTGGTATGAAGTTGGTTGCTCCCAGCCCGGAGAAGAGGCGTAAATGGCTCTTAGTCACCTGCTAGGGAGGCGCAGCTCAGGATCTCCGCCTTGAGGTAAGTGTTGTGCTGTAGGTGTGGGGTGGGATGATGTTTTCTCCTTGTCCTGAGAACTGATAAGAGAGCCCTGAGGCTGCCTTTGCCCTGCTGAGGTCACTTAGACCAGGGTGTAGTACAACTCTTCCCCTGATTAGGACCATGCTCCCTTTGCCTATGAAATGCAGATAGACACAT